AATATAATTTAAGATACGATCTCAAGTGGAGTTCCTTGGAAAAAAAGCTAACTATTGTGTATTTCCTAAAAAGGGATTATTTTTTGGTCGAAAGAAGAATTTGATACAAGTATTACAGAACACACTGTATTTCTCAAGTTCGATTGGCAGGAAAGAGTAATATCAGAATCTTGGGTATCCGTTATCGGCTTTTGAGAGCCGTGTGTCAATAACTGGTCCCGTTTCGAGTTCGAAACGAGCAAACTTTACTATAAATTCTACTAATTGTTACCAGCAACTTATACCTCTTCGAATCGGTCGGTTATTTCCTGTTTCGAATTGCTTCGAAGAGTTTCTCGAATTAAAAAAGAATTTACGAAAAAAAAAAATTCGAAACACGTTGAATTCTTTTTTAGTTCTAATTCAGTCAGTTTTTATATGCACGATACAATTTTTAATTTTGTATATTTATTTTCATTGAAATCTAAAGAAATTTGCCGAACAATAAGCTTTCGAAATTTCAAATAATTTAAAAAAAAAGAAAATGTATTTTTACTGAATTTTTTATTGAGTTGCTCAATTGAAACGACACACGTATATTATTATCGCGCTAATTTAAATCTCGTATGAGAATACGGAGAAGCTGTACACCAGTTGCTTTTCAGTGCATGAAATAATCTTAGAAATCTCATTGCTCTTTCATTGCTTTGACTACCAAGCATTGAAATTCATTCATATATTCGTACGAATATTCGAATGCAAACAGGAAAATTAAAATTTCTTTTTACGACAAAGGATTTCACGTATCGAAAAATCTTTTCTGAAAAATTTTCTTCCTTTTCCAATGTATAAAAATAAAAATTTCAACGCTTTTACAAAAAATTATATATAGAAAATTTCATTTGTAGGATTTCGATCGATATGAATTACGGGAGTTCAGAAACAAACGATCGAAATAATAAAAATTAAAATAATAAAAAAAAAACAATAACTTACCTCTGATATTATTTAAAAACAAAAGAACAATAAGAATAGATTCTGAATGTGTAGTATTGATCGTGTGAAATAGTCAGAGGAATTTGTTTTAACGGCGCAGACTACTGGACTTGACTGTTTGATCATCGACGATTAACTATCATTGGCGGCACAGTTTGATTACGTATAAACGCATTCAGGAGGCGCGAATGAAAGATAACGATGGACGATTCGCGTTTATGTTCGTTTTTTTTTTTTTCAGGAAGGGTCACTGTCCATTCGAGAGACACTGGTCACTGAAAATTGTACAAATTATATATATCTGCTCGTCTCTCTATTCGATCATTTACATATATATTATTATTTATAAAATATCATTTTCACGTGACATAATAAAGCTCGAAAAATTTCAATTTTCCCTTGTAAATTGCAAAATACGACCGTTATTAGTAAAAACAAGATTACTGTATTGATAAATCAAAGTACATATATCTTGTGTCAACGATGAATAATCAGTTATAAAAAATGATAGCCAATTAGAAAAAAACAGTAAAAGTAAACAGTAAGTAAAAATTATCTTCTAGAAAAGTTGTAAAAGTGAGTGATAAAAAAATCTAATTTTTCATTTCGTTATCTCCATTCATAGTTGAGGCCGTGTAATAAAGATATTACATAAGAGTCTCGATTAAATTGTTAATTCATGGGGTGAAACGACCATATTTCACGCCATAATTGAAATCTTTGATTAACTTTTGAATTGAATCTCATAATTGAATTGAATCCATGGAACCTTATCACGATACGATTTGATAAGAAGATGATAGGAGATGACGCGATAGAAAAATATTAGATATTCATTACAATAAGAACGAAATAACGTTTAATTCCGTCTCGTTCGATATTAAAGGTAGAATTTTTCATTTTCTGATCGTGAAATACGAATTTTTCCGAGAGAATATATCGTGTCACTGGCATTTACGATTCGAAATATTTGCCTACCAAATGAAAAATAACCGCGAACGAGATAAATGTGCAGACGAAATTCGCCAAGTTTTCAATCTAGGTTACTCGAAATTTGTTTCACAGAGACAAACGAGTAATTGTTGTCCGGCTCTATGAATATTCACGTTCACGCTTAATCCTTTCGCGTATGCACAAATACGGATATGTACATATATACTATGGTATATGTGGGATATCGATCGGGTTTCAATCAAAATAGACCCGAGAAATTCTATCTTCTTCGAATAAATTATCTTTGATCGCGAACTGTTAGATCTCGTTTCAATTCTATATATTCTTTGTCGATTTGCTCATTCGCAAATTTGCACTTGAATCGAGTAATAAAATATTATATTGTGATATTGTATAGTGAAAAATTATTACTATTTTTTTTTTATTTAAAAACGCTAGTTTCTGTTCGAATTTGAATAAAAAGTATGATTAAGAAATAAATAAAATAAATAAAATACTTCAAATGTGCAAAGATATCTATGTTGAAAATAATCCATAATTGATCATTTATGATTGATCTTTGAAAGAAAGATAATCATTATTTGATAGTCCGTTATCGTAAAAATAAATAATAAAATCCTATAAGAGCAAAGACGTTAAATTGAAATGTGAAGATAAAATAATTATGACCTATTTTTTTTTTTAATACTTAATCTTACTTGAAAAAAAATTTGATAAAATTGATTTTTTTTCGTTTAAATTAATTTATATACTATACACTATATACTACAATAATTGCATATCACAGAAATTTATTGTAATATATTACAATATTTTTATATTGATTCGTAGACAAATTAATTTACGAAAAGAATGAAAAGAAAGAAAAATTAAGGAGATTAAAAATTTTTAAATTATAAATTTGCATTCTGCATTCGTTTTCTTCGAAACAAATAAACAAATGGAATCTATAATAATCCGTATTATCTAAAAGTGCAATTCCTCGAATCGATTCTCTCGCGATTTTTCTTACTCGCGAAACAAAGCAAGAAAAAAATGGGAAACAGCCTCGAGGAAACAATGAAAAAGAAACTTGGACACGAGTAATTTGCATTCACTGTACCGACATCGAAAGATTTATCCAGAGACGTTCAAAGATTCTTCTCTTATTTGCTCCAGGCTCCATCGTTTCAATTTAAACTTTCTGAGAAGTAAGAAAGAATATCCGTTGAATTTTTTCATCTTAGCCTTTTCATCTTCCTTTCAAAATTTTACAACTAATAAGGTGTCGAGAAATTCTTATTGAATATTTCGATTAAACAATTATATCAAAAGATTTTAAAGACACGTTTCAACGAATCGAAGATAATAATAATCGTCACTCGACTTGTTTTATCTTCACGAGACTTGTCATGTATATTGATATAATGAAATAATCGCAATCGCAATCGACAGAAACTCGAATGACGTACTTGATGTACAACGATACAAATTATCCGATAAAATGGAAGGTGAGGTCGGGGATACTGTTATCCTGCTTAAAACAAACTCTTTTGTTTTTCTCAAAGCGCTCCTCTTTGGATGATTTTACGAACGATTTTACACCAAGATTAGTGGTGGAACAAGGAGGATCGTTGAAAGAAAGAAACGAATTCGCATTATCCGGTGGTGTCTGAAAAACGTATGAGAAGAGGAGAAGGTGTATCGACCTCAACGATGCGATTAAGTACACTCGAGAACGAGTTGTTACGTCCCTGGCACTTTCTGGGTCTTGCCCTGTCCTCCACCCTCTCACGAAGGACGGAGGAAGTATTGATTAAATTCACTGTCGGCCATTTTGCCTCGCCATCCGATTGGCTGCCGTCCATTTTGTCCTTCCTACCCCTTCCCACCTCCTCTGCCTCTCTGTTTCTTCCTCCTCCTCTGTTTTTCATTCTCGTTACGACTCTGTTTCCACTGTCTCTTTCTTTCTCTCTCTCTCACTCTCTCTTCCTCCCTCCTTTCTTTCAGTTTTCAACCCCTGCGAAGGAAACGAGAGTGGAAACAAGAGTGGAAACGAGAATGGAAACGTGAGTGGAAACGGGCATGCGTCGCGACATTTTCCGCGAAAAGAAATCGGCGATCGGAGATTTTTCTTTTTTCACCATCCTCCCCATTCACGTTCCATCGTTTTTCCATCCCAGAAGAATTCTCCACGTTCGACGCGTTCGTTTGCGTTCCTCTGAACCGAAACGAGTCACGAATTCTTAGAAAGCTTCACCGAGCTCCAATCCTTTTTAAACAGATAATTTGAATTTCTCGAGATCCTCCGGGAATGCTCGATATTCTAGGACGCAATTTCTATTCCAAATATGATTCCTATTATTCCAACGATTTCGTATATACGAACTCGTATTTCCAATCGTATTTCCAATCGAAAGAAATCAAAAGAAAGATCTACATCGATCTACGAGCGTGCAAGACATTTTTCACGTTTTGCCCAAATTTTACAATTAATATACCAATTAATTTCACCCACCAGCGAAATAATTTCAACATCGTCGATAAGAAAGCTACGCTCGAAACCATTACCATCATCCTCCAAGAATTTCACTGTCCTCGCCACCCCGATGAACGCGGATATCTCGGCTAAAGGGCAAGCGTGCCGGAGATTTCGCGGCTAAGTAGCCCCCTTGAAGCCCATCTGGTAGCCACCTCGGGAGCGCATTCGTAAACGTATAAAAGGAGACAAGGGGTGCAGCATTCCCTTGCGGCGAGAACCGCGCGAGATGATGCCTCGATGTATCTCGAGGGCCGGAGGAAACAGATAAAGCGTGGAGCGATACGTCACACTATCCTCTCTGACGTCAGTGTGACGTTCGAACGGGGATTGGCCGAGGTTCGACACGCCTACGCGGGCCACCCCCGTGCCACAGCACCCCGAGCACCCGTGCACAGAGGGTTTCGTCGCCCCGCCCACGCAAAAACAACCCCCGCCAGGTGGAGGGTAGGGTGCGTGGGTTGCACGAGAGAGAGAAACTGGGTCAGCCAGACTCGAGGCAGGCCGAGTCAGGCCGAGGCTCGAGAGTCGTCCAGGCGTTTTCGGCTGGAAGCAGTCCCTTGGAAACCACCCCGAAGCCCGTCGTCGCTTCCACCACGGTCTACCGTCGTTCCATCCACGAGTCCTTACACTCGGTTAGGACCGATTCCATCCCCTGTTGAGCGAGAGTGAGCGAGACGAGTGAGGATCACCCCCTTCGAGGTGATACGAAGGAATTGGTGAGTGATTATATTTGGATAGGAACGGTTTAGTTGCAACCCCTTTCTCTCTGTCATCGTCTATCCGGATGATCGAAAGGGTTTTTGGAAATTTTTCGAAATGAATTTTTGGAAAAAGAATTGGAAATGTAATTTTTATAAACTTGGGATATTTCTTCGAAATCCTTTCGATTTTTTGGATAGATTTATTCTTTGTCGCTTTCACGCATTCCTCATTCTCGCTTCATTCCTGCTGATGGCATTGAAGAACTTTTGGATACATGGATCGTTTCGTTTTCATATTTTTGCATTTAGTTTTTGCATTTAGCTTTTTCCATTGTACGAGATATTGAATGATAAATAATGCTTTCAAGATTTTTTCTTATTTTATTTTTTCTTTTTAGGCTTTTTATATTTTTTAATATTCAATTAAAAATACTATTTATACCCATGGATATCGTTCTCTCTAAAAATTGAACAAAAAGCTGCACGATAATTATTATCGATAATCCGTACTATTTATCTACATTTTAATAACTCTGTTTCATCAGAGTGATGTGATCTGATCTCTCTTCAGGACGATCTGTCGCTTTACCTTTTTGCGCTCCAAGGACCAGTCGATCGGTTCAGAGAGCAACGATATAGATATCGAAATTTCTCGAGAATCGAAAAATCGAGAATTTTTTAAGATGTGCAACGAAACGAGAAAGAAAAGAATAGAGAATGAAAATGAATAAAATGCTCTCTGTCCATGTTTCTTTGGTCGCTCGGCCTGCCATGTTCCTTCGGCGTTTTAACTCTCGCTTCGCAGTTGTGCAATTTCTGTCAAGCTCTTGCTGGATAATAATAATAATAAAAATAATAATAATAATAATAAGAAATAATAAAAGAAGCACGAAAGTTGAAAGAAGCTCGACACTGAAGCGGACACTGTTGTTGATTGTTGTAGGAACTGAGGCGAGGGGCACAAGCAGAGACATGGACAATGTGCAAATGATCGGCACTAAAATCACTGCGATCAAGGAATACTTATATGTAAGGCATTCCATCTCGCTGCACGTCATTCATCTTGTTTTATGTCTATCTTTGTTTTTCTTCATTTTCTTTCATCGTTTGTCGCTATGTCACCTATAACTCTTCTTTTACTTCGTACTTCTTTTTCTTTCGTTCCTTTTCTTATTGTTTTACTCATTAACCCTTTCGTTTCCAGACTTGAATTTAAAGATTATATAAAAAATAAAATGCTGTATTTATCAAAAGCTAAAGATTATAGACAAACAATTTGGGAATGAAAGGATTAAGGAAGATGATTGCCTGAAAAGAATTTTCTTTTTTCAATAGAATTTTCGAAAAAACTTACTTTATAATTTATTATTCTGTATGAAATGTCAGTATGTTCATCGAATTCAGTGATACAAATTTACGTTGTGAATTTCAGAATTTCGCCAGGACACATTCACCAACCAGACTAATGAGCTCCGAAAACACCTACTCGCTCTCCAAAGAGCACTGTAACTTGAAATATTCGGGTGAGTGTAAAGATTGCTTCTTTCAGAAATATTTTCAACACCATCCAGCATGCTCTGGACATTTAAACGTCAAAACAGCATGGAATTTTTATAAACTCGTTTAAACTCTATATTTCTACCTATATATTATATTTATTCGTTTATCTATAAATTATTTTGCAACGCACGTCAACATTACAAAACAAAGCCTATTCTCCTGCGACCTATTTTTACTTGTCTGACCACGTACGGTTTATATCTACTTACCCCACTGATTGTCTCGTCTCACCACGAATCCAAGCAAATTATCGTTCTATATCGAATCGTTTCCCTTGTGTATCCGGATTGTGAAGCCTCTGGCTTCCCAGGAATGAAATCCAGGAGTCACAATATTGTCCTGATTTCGCGAAGCTCGCGGCTCGGAAGGGTGCATAATAATAGAGGATTTAGAATTGGCCTGAAGAGGCTCGTAGGCAACGAGTGGCTGAGGACAGATTACACGCCGCAGAAAAGGGCGGAAGGGTTTGTTGTAGGGAATCTGTTTACGCTTTACCAACTGTAGAATAACGATAAGAGTTGTATCGATGCGCATATAAATTAGATTTAAAATATAATAATAAAAAAAAAAATAATAATTCGAAATATCGGTCAAAAAATTTTGGAATTACTTTTCAAAGTCGTAGCTGCGCATCGAATTCTCTGTTAATTTTGTTATTAACGTTTTCAATTGTTATTAATTTTTATTTGATTAATTGTTAATTAAAATTTAAGTAAAGAAATTGCAAAAATTTGTCAGGATTGAAAACGAAACTTTCTTCAAAGATTGGAGCAACCTCTTTCCCGCTCGTTACTATAAATTAACCCCGTAATCCCGCTTATAAATCGCTGGAACTAATTGCCACGTGTAACAACCCCTAGAAGGCGCTTTGATTAAACCTACGAATAGAGGGTTCGATGCATCTGGTGCCAAATGACGCACGAGTTCCACGTAGATCCATGGAATCTGTAATTCATCCTGTTGAAATTGCATGTGTTCGTTGCTTCGTTTCTTGCGTGATTCGATTGTATACAATTCAACTTGCCAATTGTTGTGTGCGTTAATTTAATCGTTGATCGAATAGAAGTATTTACTTTACTCTTGATCAGTGGATTCAGCGAAACTTTTACAATGCTTGAAGAAAAAAAAGGAGACTCTGACAGTCTTTTTTTGGACGTTAGATTGATAGAGGTGGATTAGCCGAAGCAGAGCCCTTGGAAGCCAGGGATTTCTCTTGTCTAACCATGGGCTTAGAACGATTCACCATTCCACGCACCCTTCTTTCCCATTCGATTCTCATTCATCGTTCTCGTGATTATTGAAAAATACACTTGTCTTTTAGTGGTTTTAGTTTTCTATTATTTTTTGGACGAACCTCTATCTTAAAATATTTTTAAACGAAATATTTTAAGAGGAGGACGTGACTTGAATTTTGTTAAATAGTTATTCGTTACATTCTTTCTTTATTAATTCTTACAAAGATTTTTACGCGATAGGAAGAAAAATTCTTTTTTAAAAAAAAATTCAAGCGTTCCTTGTTATTCCTTAAAATAAAGAAACGGAGAATTTAAGACACGAATACTGAATAAAGCAGAGTCTGTTTATCCGTAGGATCTTCTTAATGCAATGGGAAAAGAAGGGTGGTTTACGATACTTTATGGTTACGTTGCGACTAAAGGACAGTTCAATTTACCAAGGATTTACCACAAGCACATTGAAATGTTCCACTGTAAATTTTTTCTTTATCAAAGCAGAGCTGAAAAATCATCTTGAAATCTCGAATATTCCATCATTCTTCTTCTTTTTCGGGACAACATAATATTTTTCAAATATTTATTGTTATTTTGCATCATTATATTCACTGCTTCTCTCTTACGCATTTTCGTTCAATGTTGTGACGTGTATGTGCGATTGCATGGAAACTTTTCGAACAGCGAAACGAGTCATCACCGACATAAGACACGAAGAAGAAGAAAGAGGAAGACGACGAGGAAGATGAGGAAGAGGACGAAGAAGTGAGATGGTGTCATCCCACCAAACAAGTGAGAGTGTGTCAATATAGGTCTATACTTTCAATTGTTTGATGAGGTGAAATCATTCTAATAATTGACGTTTTCTGGGATGGAGAGAGCCGGCGGTAGGTCGAAGGGCGCACGAAATAAAAAAAAAAAAGGAAGGCTTTGATTGAAACGGTATTAAATCGATCGGTGTCGCTGTAGAAGAGATTTCACTTGATTATAACAATTAGAGAGTCATCAGTAGACAATTTAGCCTATCATTAATTTTTTTACGATCAAATTTAATGTGATTGCTTGCATAACACAAGAATTTGTTATCTTAACATCTTCGAAATTATAAAATTTAAAAAATATAAAATAAAAAATTTGTCCTGAGAAAAAAAGGAAGAGGTAATGTCGAGTCTTCTTTGTCATAATTTTGAAGATACTAAGGGAACAAATAGCGATTTGAAGGATAGTCGAGTGTCTATTATTCGAATTTTGAATTTTTATTGCTCTCAGATATCCTGCCGCAGAATGCCGAAGGTTATCCAGCGACCAGGGAGTTCCTGATGAAGGTGGTGGACATTCTGTTGGATTTTATCAAGTCCACGAATGATAGAAACGCTAAAGTGCTCGATTTCCATCATCCCTCCGACATGATGCGTCTCCTGGATCTCGAAATTCCTGATTCTGGTTTGACTCTTCAACAACTTCTCATCGATTGTTCGACCACCTTGAAGTACCAAGTTAAAACAGGTGAGTTTTACGTTTATATTTAAAGATTTTATTAATTAATCTTAAAATTAGAATCTTAAAATTAAAAAAATTGATAGATTTATGTATAATATAAAATTAAATTAATTAATCTACGAATTTTAAATTTAAAAATTATGAAATAATAATAAAAGGACAGTCAAGAAGGATTAAAAGATGTTTCTAAATCGATGATGAAAGTTATCTGAGGGAAAAACTGGAGGAAATTCGAGGATGATGTCTAGCAGGGAATCGTTTAATACTGTACTATCGCATTTCCTTGCATTTGGGAGGGCGATAAGCCACGTAATTTCATATTCAATTTAGCATACGCGCTCTAGGGGTGGAGATAAGGTAGCTAGACACTTTCAGCATTTCCGCAGGCTTCAACCCCACGAAATATACACATTGTCCTCGTGCACGTGATAAATGAGCGAGGGTAACTGAAATAAAAAAGCTATGCGGTATCTGGCTACACCATCTAAGTCCTTCTTTAGAACAAAAAATGAAACAGTTTTCAGTTGAAATTTCTATGATCTTTCGTAAATAGAGAGAATAGAAAAATAAGAATTAAACCGAAAACTAATTCCTTAAAAATATGGACTTAAAGATTTTCAATTCTCTAATTTTGTATTTATTAAATCGAATAGCAAATTCTAAATTTCAAGATTGGAAATTTTCAATAACTCCAAAACGTGAAATTTTTTTTGATACTGAATTGAATTTTTTAAATCTGTGAGAAAAAATTTCGAATCGCGCGAGCCACGCACGAGATATATTAATTCGGCCACTGGCGAATTCATCGAGGCTTTCGATCGAGGAAACGCCAAAAGTCAACCGCAAATCCCCCACGAAAGTTCGCTATCTCGGCCAGGATTCGATTACCAGGTTGAATAGATGCTAATGCACAATGGAAGAGGGCTAACCGAACTTAGGCCAGGAATCAGGCTTGTCTGGTAGCGGGAGTCGATGATGACGAGCCACCCTTGTGTATAGAAAGACGCGTGCACCGCGTATACGGACAAAAACTCGTTATTAGATTACGTGCCACGAGACATTCCCTTCTGGTAACATAGCATCTGACCATAGTCATCGAAACCGTGAAAAAAGGAAGGCATCCTCCTCCCTTCTGCTGTGGAATCGATTGATAGGAGATACGTTTGGAAAATATTTTTTTGGGGTTGCTGGATGATAAGATGATGATAGTCTTTTGAAATATGGCGTGGTAAGAGGAGAAAAGATATCTGAAGGGTTTTAAGAATAGAAATTATTTATGAGAATATTTTTGGAATACTTTAAAAATAAAATGTGAAATTAGGAATAAGTTTGTGGAATTTTTATTATTCCATATCCGAAAATCATGGAAGAAATTAATATTGATTAATAACGAGATCTCGATTAATTGTGATACAGTTGGGTATATCTTTGTCGAGAAAGCTGTACAACCACAAAGATTGGAAATTTCAATGTCTGGGAAAGGAATGTACGTTTCCTTCGAAACTCGTCGATATCGGAAATAGATGCTCCAGTTAGTTCGACCTGGAAAACAGGATTCTCACATCTAAAGAAATTTCCAATAGCACATGAGACTTGGCAAGATTACAAAAAAAAAAAAGAAAAAGAAGAAAATCGTTTTGTCAAAGAAGAATTTTCAATCTCCAATTTTCCATGAAAAATTTCGATTCCCGTTGCCAAAATTAGGATACCCTTTTTTCTTTCTTCAAACCGAGGATGAAAACTGTCGGAATTCGGAGAACGGGTAAGGGGAAAAAGCACGGGAAAGAAGAATACAAACTGTGCCCATCGAAAAACGGTTGTAGCGTTAGCGCACGTGGCACCACTGGGCAGAGTGGTGAATTCAATAGGATCGGTGTAATTAAGAGCCATTTCTACACGATTTTCCCTCGGTGGGATGGAGGGAAATAGTAAATAGGGGCGAACGACCGAGGGGAGGGAGGGAGCGCACACCATCGGGTGAACCCTTCGTCGAGCTTTCGCCGCGGACGCACCGGGTACACCCATTGGAATTTAAATTGATATCGATAGCTAGCCGTGGAATGTAGAAATCGTTTCGTCACGGAACGCACAAGTTGTTACGTCATTCGATCGGTATTCTCACCATGAATGGAATTCATCGGCGATGAAAATCATGGCTATCCAAATATCATAACACCAATGACAAATGAGGAGAATGGAGAAAAGCAAAAGATTTTTATTTAAAATATTAATTATTTCTAATAATTCTCAGAATTATCCAAATATGAAGGAATAAAAATTTTATCAAATTGCCAATAATAGATATCCCGACAAGGAAATAATGAATATTATGAACAATATTGAATATTATGGAACGTGAATTGTGTTATTAATTTTCTTCCATCGTTATTTGAGTTCAGACATTCGAAATGGTTTCTTTTTCCTGTATGATTGATTGCACGGCATTAATGTTAAGTCTGGGTTACACACTTCTCTTCATACAAATCGTAAGCCCTGTAATATATTACCCTGGTCTGCGTCGAGCAGGTTCTCCACGTTGTTCCCTTTCTCTTCTCGATGCGGGGAAAGAGGGCAAATTAGTCGGAAAATGATACCCTCAGACATTGTAATTGCTCGTAAAAGCAATCCAGTGAAAGAAACAAATCGTGGAATCCATAGTATCGTATAACAAGTTTATGTCCCATATGTCAACTCGTAAACGCGATAGAGATTTCATTGATATTTACGAAGAATATCTTCGACAAATTAAACAAAGAAGTTGTTGAACAAATAATATTAGAAATTTAATTTAACACAAATCCAATAATGAATATCTTTTTACAAAATTAAATAAAATATAATGTTTGTATCAAATTATTTTGCCCCGTGAATGTGAAAGAGATCGCTTTCCATTAGTTTTAAGAGGTTATCCTCTATTTTGCCATTACTCCGCGGCGATGGGAACGAGTCTAAGGGGATCTGGTTCGAAAATCCCTGCAATTCCATGCAGAATTAACATACCCTTAAATCTGCATAATACGCCAACCTGCCTGGCTTATCCGCACGTTGCACTCTCGTGCGTTTGTTTTTCCTATCTTCCTTCAAATTACACAAACACCCCCAATTCCATCACGTATTGTTACACTGAACTTTGTTGAACATTCTCACAATAGAGCACCAATTTTTAGAACACGTTTACAACCTCGTCTCTAAAAAACTTTTTGCAGTTTCCAATAGAAACTTTAGCAATATCCATTAAGACGATCTTTTATTTTCTCCCTTCTCTAAATTTATTCTTCGTATTTATTTTGTAAAAAAAAAAATTTCACTTAAGAAGCGAGGCATGCTGGAAACTTGTATCCTCGATTTATCTAACGTGGATGTAAATGAGCTATAAAATACATTTGCAACGGATGATGGAGTACAATGGATAATCTCGCCAGCTGGTCGAAACAGTTTGTTTTTCCTGAGTTCTTCTCGTGATTTGAGAGCCTCTGCAAACAATCTAGTCGCGCAGCGACGCGTGTGACGCGCAAAATGCGGGCTCCTCGGACCATCGACCCTCGGTGCTCTTGGAAAAATCGGGGGTGGGGCAGGGAAAGGGAGACGTCTTGTTGCACACCCCAGAACCGGACGCGTGCCACGATCCACGGACCAAGATAATTGCGAATAACACCGCGACAAACGGCTCCAGATACCGCTGCCCGATATCTTCTTCTGGGGTGGAGACTTTTTTGTCCAGATATACATTCGATGCTTTGACCAGTGATTGAATTCTACCGTTAGAATTTCAGGAAAGAAAAAAGAGTAATAAAGAATTTTGGATATGATTATTTGGATTATTGATCTCTTTTTGAGATAATTCGGTTTTGAGATGTATTAATTTGAAAAATTGAAAGTTAAAAAAGAAAATGTAATTGAGCTATTTAAATTTTATAAGAAATATTTCAAGAATTTTGTGTATCTTAACGTTAAAGTATTGGAAAAAGTATTTTAATTATCGAGATTAGCAACAAAAAAAGATAAGAAATTGTGATTCGATTCCTGATCTCAAGGAAAATTACGATCTCAAGTTAGAAATCCAGATGTTACAAGGGGAACACTTAGACCCCCAATAGGTTGGCGTCACACGTCAATCAATCACTAATACCATGAGATTAAAATGTCCAGACACCACCCTCTCACGAAACTCTCTCTCTCACTCGCGTGTTTGGTCTTACTACCGAGGATATTTATCGAAAGAACGTAACGCCACTCTGGAGGTTTCGCCCGGAAAACCGAATATGGCCGTTTGGTTATCAAAGGTTATCGTGCACTCGGGGGAAAAAGTCTTTTCGTGGCCGGATATTCAATGGAGTGAATCCATCAATTCTCGGGATCAAGGGATCTACGTTATTTAAGAGAATGATAGGATGTAGGCTGTAAGGGTGGGTAAAAAAATCCTGCATCATGGAAAACATAAATTTCGAGCATAAATATGGTACCTATTGTTAAAAAATAACCTCTACCCTATGAATATAAATCTTTTCATTACGTTTCTTTACGTCTTCTATATTGCACAGATATCTCTTCTTAATGCTTAAATTTACAAAATTGGTTCAATACAAATTACTCTTCATTGTGATCCTCCATTATTTTACTTTGCAATTAATATTTTTAATATCTAAATTGACTCCTTGTTAATTCTTAATACAAAATGGATACAATACAAATTAAATAGAAAGGAAAAAGGAAATATAGCAAGGAGAAACAGCAACTTGCTCACATACAAGAAACAGTAGCGCTTGTACCCTCCATTCGCATCAGAAGGCAGGCTCCCATCGAACAGAAGCATTAACCCTGATCCTGGCGCGATGTTCAGCAGAGCGGATGACAACGTACTCAGAGAGCGGCTTAAAGCTCTCTTCCCTCTTTCCATCCATGTGCCTTTCGACCTCACTGCCACTGCCACGAATCTACACTATATAATATAATTTCTGGCCACGTGCCACGTCACTGTTATTAATTACCCTACCATTAAGAATCGTCTTCGAACAATCACGATTTCAAAGGAATTAGAACCGCTACCCTTGATTCAAAATAGAAAACGATTAATTTGAACGCGTTTCTGTTCTATAATGGTTGTTTCGAAAATGAGAATCGACAATGAAAAGATATTTGTCTCTAGAATTGTTGAAAGATAAATTGATTAAGATAATTCTTTTCTCTGGTTTTTGCTCAGGTCATCCACATTTTTTCAATCAATTGTCCTGCGGTCTGGACCTCGTCTCGATGGCTGGCGAATGGTTGACAGCGACGGCTAATACCAACATGTTCACCTACGAAATCGCGCCGGTGTTCATACTGATGGAGCACGTGGTGCTTCAAAAAATGAGAGAACTGATCGGTTGGAGCGGTGGCGACTCCATACTTGCCCCAGGAGGTTCCATCAGTAATCTATACGCCTTTCTCGCTGCCAGGCATAAAATGTTCCCCATGTACAAAGAACGGGGCCTCTCCGCAGTGGGTGGACAGCTGGTTATGTTCACGTCTGATCAGGTACGTTTTGCTCTACTTATCTCTTTTTGTGCCTTTGCGGTATCTTATCGACAGATAAACCTCCGATTGTATAAAACGGTGTGTTATCATATTCTTATCTCTTGAGATACGGAATTATAGATAATGGAATTATGAAATCATCGAAATAAAAACCTTGTTTCTTTTCTTTTCTTCTTTTGTAATTCTACGGAAAAATAAATGGAAATGAATGTTCGAAATTTTATTTATTTTTGTGCGAACAGTGCCATTATTCGGTGAAATCGTGCGCCGCTGTCTGCGGATTGGGAACGGACAACTGCGTGATGGTTCCTAGCGACGATCGAGGCCGAATGATTCCTTCGAAACTGGAAGAATTAATTCTTGAACGCAAGGCCAAAGGACACATCCCCTTCTTCGTGAACGCTACCGCAGGAACGACCGTCATTGGAGCGTTCGATCCTATTCCAGAAATCGCTGATATATGCCAGAGACACAAGCTCTGGCTGCACATCGACGTGAGTTTTTAAAACATTGTTTAATTTTCCCCAATAATAATAAAGCGATCAAGACAATATAATTTAATCGACCGATGTAACGCGTACAAAATCGAGGATGAAAGTGTTTCGAAGTTAGAAAGGGAAAACAGAGATTTCCACTTAGCTTAGACAGATTATTCAAATCGGTTCAACGTTCGAACGATAAATGCCAAATGCCTAAGAGCCTTAACGTAAATAATAAATGTGAGAAGCGTCATCTAGTCGACGGCCAGTGTTTCGATCGGTTAAATTAGGGGAAAATTCGGAAAATCTGGGCTTTGCTCGAAGTCAAAACTTACGAAGTCTTTAATACACGACATCTTTCTTTATATTTTACAAAATATTTTCTTCTCAGGCGGCTTGGGGTGGTGGACTGCTTCTCTCGAGGAAATACAGGCATCCCCGAATGACAGGCATCGAACGGTGAGTGAAAGAAAAAAGAAAAAACAGAATAATTCTAATTTGAACTGTCTTTGTAAAATTGCGATACATCTTCACCCTCAAACTGTTCAATCTTCTCCTTAAGATATATATATATAGCTTTTCGATCAATCAGAAACACCTCCATACGTGTTCTATAGAGGGGTGGCTTAATCCTCGTACTTTATAGTTTATTGAGGCTTAGTTTGATGGAGTCACTCGGAAACGAAGTATACACACACGCATGCACAACGTGGATAAAATCGATAAAGTTTCTTTCAAGTAGATAAAGCTCTTCCTGGGTCGAGAATGAGACGCTTTAAACTTAAGAAAAGTCAGTTTGCATACGAATAGAGAACTGAGAATAGAAATTGATAGATTTAATCTGTAAATTAAATTTAGTCAATCGCAGGAACAATCATACGAAATTAACCAAACTTCAAATTCTGATTTTAATTGAATGTATGCAGAATATTAACAATCTTTTCTCTTCATCATTATACTCATATTTAAAGAATAGAGAAAGAAAAAAAACACTGAAATTTTAAGGATTGACTTCATCTTCCTCTCAAAGTAGAATTATTATTCTTTAAATACTCGTAAAGTTTTTCGACTAACTACATTAATCTACAATAATCTGGACACGTTGGAAATAATTCGGATAAATTAATCGACGCGGAAAGAAGATACCTGCCGGCAATTTCTCGACAGTATCGTAATCCATGGAATCGAGGGGATGGATGGAAAGGAGTGACTCCTGTCCTCGACACATGCGAACTTTCGCATATAGAATCGCGGAGGCGAGTGATGTCCGACCCCTCGTGCTGCAATTGGGGGTCAGGGATAGGCCGATTCAGGGGGTGGCTCGGATGGGGTTGGCGAGATTAATCCACGATTTGCATCCGGCCGCATCTGCTCCCTTCATTCAACGCCAGACAGTCCGTGACCCGAAAAAAAGTGGCACGAGGCCTGTCGAGAAAATCATTTTCACTCGAAAAGTCATCTGAACTCGGAGTAATATCGAATACTCTAGCTTGCTTTCCAATTTCGTGGAATTTACTCGCAATTTTTTATTTAGAAAATTTTTTCCGCAACAACGGAATATTATAGCAACACGTATGCTACAAAAGATGCATGAACAATAGCTGTCGTGCATATTTCTCTTCCTACGCGCGAGTAGTTATTGAGATGAATATTCTTTGTCGCGAAATGAAATTGAATGAAATTGAATCTTTAAAGTTTATCATTTTCGTATTGTAAATTTTTATAATAATATTTGAATCATAGAATTTTTTTCTATTGTTATAAAATATTATTTCCAATTTTAAATATTTTTTCAATATCTGTATCACAAATTTTCGCAACATATAATTTCGAATTGAAACTATTTTCACGATACTGTGAGTTATTTTTATTTTATACTTCATAGTAATTCGATTTTGACAAAGGTTGGTAAGAAAAAATCCGAGGAAAAATCCTCCACGCAATCGCCGTGGATTTCCTGCTTGCACAGACTGTACCCCAGAACTTCCTTCCTGTGAAGGTCTTGATTAAAATGGCAAACGAAAAATCCGAAGGACGAGCAACAGCTGGATCAGTTCCCTGGAGCGCATTTGCAGAACAGAACTCTCCTCTTTATATATCGACGGCGGCGCCGCATCGTACTGTGCCTTCCGCGGGTCTGAAATAAAAGACCGTGCCTCGACAATGCTGGATTAAACTCGTACAAAGGGAACAGAGCTTTCCTCATTCTCTCGTTCAATGTCGCTCTCTGTCGCTCTCCAACCACCCCCTTCGTTGTTCATCCCTCGAACAGAACGGCGCGGACTCGCGAAAAGGAGGATCAGAAAGGAAAGGGAGATCGTGATTCCAGCGTCGCGACAAAGTCAGAAATGATTACGCATAAAAGGTGGTTGAGGAAGGAAGGAGAGGTCTGCATGCGGAAGCGAAGTTGAAAGTCCTTCTCTCGATGGATTCGACAGTTTTGTCGCGTGCTTCCATGCTTTTCACGTGTATTTTTCCTTCGTATACACACGCTTTCATGCAAATTACACGATCCTCGATCCCCTGGAGCACGATTATTCCGATCTCTTTCGACGATCGCGAATTGTCTTTGTTTCGTAAAGAGATGTGTTCTTTTAAGACTCTATTTCTTTAAATATCGTTTATTTGATTATCTATGAAAATTTTTTTGATTTTAATGTCAGAATGTCTACGCGAATTCGAAGAATTATTAATTTTCTCTTCGTTCGAATTGGACGAATCTGACTGAGTTTCGATTGAAAACCAGTTCTTTTCTTTCGCGCTTAGCTTAAGTGGTGAGGGATAATTAGCAACCCTCGTGATATATATTGCGCGGCTTTTGGGGTTGGCACCTAGGATGAATTTAAGAGTGAACAGAAGGGCGCTGCACGCGCCAGACCCAGCTGCGAATCGCATTAATCACTCGAGCTTTGTACCCACACATTATGCACACTTTTATCGATACCTTTTTTTAACTAATGGAAAATTAAAACACGTTGGAACAACACGTTCAATCTTTCGATAATAAAAATTATATAGCTCATTAATTGAATCGTGAACAATGAAATATAAAAGTTGAAGCTAAATATATAACGCTAAATATATAACGTATTTATGTATGAGTGAAGTGATGCAAGTAGTGGAATTGCAAATTGTGCGAAGTGCATGAAACTTGGAACGGCTCGTGAAAATGGCGATAATACAACGTTGCGATAAACTCGTATACGGTGTATGAAGAGGATGCAGAAGAGTGACTAATGGCAAACGGCTGTCGCCGACACGAATCTCTTTTCCTGGTTGCTTCGAGTACCCTCGCATCATTCACAGAGCAGTCGACGGACAAGTAGGGATAGTGTCGCGATATATGTGTCAGTTGCCAAGTGTCGATAACGTTTGTCATCGGACGGCCACGCTTGTCTGCACGTGCACGCCTGATTCTACTTGAGCGAGTTAACCTCTACTTAAACGAAACGATTGAAGCTTCTGAATAATTAACACTGAAATTTATCTATTCTATTTTTACTATCTTCCAAGTTATATATACAAATATATCTCGCTCTAAAAATGTTTGAAATTTCACCGTGGGCAAATTTTTGTATTTAAAAATATCGTATATCATTTATTTTTGCACGATAAGGTATTCTAATGGAAAGGTGAGCGACACTTGTTGAACGCATAGGAAATTAGTGTCAAATAGTACACAGGTTCTCGCGTTTTGTGCCACGGATTAAGAAGGGTTAGCAGTTTTTACCGCAAGGGTGTGTCTCTTAGGAGCAGAGGGTTAAATCCAATCCCATGGCTATATTAATAGCTCTTCTCTCGAATTGATGGACCCCCGCGTTGCGTGGAGGGAAAATAACTCATATTTTATCCCCTATTGGTCCCAGTGGGAGTGGATAAACGTTTGACGACCAGCTGAGCTCGACCGCCTTTCTCAGCCACCTTCGCTCGTTCTCGATAAATCGCGGATAAAATCTGTTCCAACCTTCGATTTCATTTATCCCTTGTTATTGAATCGAAATTTGAATCACACTTTCTTTATATTTCTAAATTTCTTTATATTTATCGCGTATTTCGACTTTGATATCTTATAATATTCTCTTTTTAATTATTCAAAATTTGTACTTTATAAAAAGAAAAATTTAGAAAAAAATTAATAGTATTGCATAGTATTAATAAAAAATCGTTCTTTTATAAGATCTAGAAAGATTTTTCCTAAGAAATTATTATATTATCAATTTCAACATTCTTTCAGTTCAAATTTTCAACCCCTTAACGACCATATTTCCAATTTTGATTTATATCGAATAAAATAATTCGGTCCTTAAGGGGTTAATAACGATGTATACGCATGATATTCTTCATAAAAAAAAAAAAACGATCGTTCACAGAGCCGATTCCGTGACCTGGAACCCGCACAAACTCATGGGGGCGTTGCTTCAATGTTCGACGATTCACTTCAAGGAGGACGTAAGTCACTTTCACATCGATCTTACTGTTTGTTTTATTACGATTATAAAAATCGTTCCACACGCATGTGTATCCTGGCGAACAAATCGACATCTCGAGATCCCGTGGACGGAAATTCCTGTCTCCTGTAAGGGTGATGACACAACGGTGGCTGCATTCCGAGGGGCGGAGACGTGTACGCGTTGGAACGCGGCACTGCAGGAATTTAATTAAACTAAGAGATAACATATGTTGCCGACCGTACCACCATGGCTCGCGCGAGGGTTTATTCGCCCCACACGCCTGCGTGGTTATATTGCCGACTCAGAACTTCCCCCTCGGATATTAAAATTCCGTGCACCGGCTGCCGCGGAACGTTTCGAACGAGGGAGGTTCTTTCCTTATTCTTAATATGTTATCGTTACGTTTGGCCGATCGGTTGGTTAAGAAATTGTTGCAAATTGGAAATTTGGACAGGCGCAGTTCAAGTATCGTGATTTATGGAAATTTTCATTTTACGTTCGAATTATTCAAAATGAAAAAAAAACTTGCAGGTGTCTTTGATATGGTGATTTTTGAATTAGCAATTGAGATTTTCTAAATTTTTTTTTTAATTTTTCTATAGATCCTTTCACTAATTACACATTTCTATATATCACTTGAATTACAATCATCTATTGTATTTAGATTAGACATATTACAGTTTGATAATTCTAATGTTAATACTTTTGATGATTTTTTAAATTTGTGCACATTTCTAATTTTCTTAATTTTCCTATTGGTTACAATAAAAGTAGAATCCATTTCGCTGCAATTTTTTTTTCATTACGCGAAAATGGAACAATGATGGAAGAAAGAACGTTCGATTTACGAGGACATTCAACGAAATCGCAGAATCATGAGGTACAATGGCGACCTGTAGGGTGTAAGGATACCAGTCGCCATTTTGTAAATTCAATATCCCTCAGTTTCCCTCTTCCTGCGCATGAGTTCCCATATCGACCCGTCTCTCACGTTTGTTCCTTCTCGCGCCTGTCAATTAGAAAGTTTCTTAAACATAGCTCGAAACGTGTGCTCATTGTGTCCTGTAAAATGAGTTGGAAAAATTGGAAAACCGAACAACAACAGACTATCCCCATCTCGCCTCCTCGATGCATTCGCCTCTTTATTTTCCAGGGTTTGCTGATTAGCTGCAACCAAATGTCAGCCGAGTATTTGTTCATGACAGACAAACTGTACGACGTGAAGTACGATACCGGTGATAAAGTGATTCAATGCGGGCGTCATAATGACATCTTCAAACTTTGGTTGCAATGGCGAGCCAAGGTAAATAGCATAGATCGAAGAACAATTATTGATTCGTGAAAACGAAACAAAAAATAAACATAGGAAAATTTTTTCACGAAGAAGATTGGATTAAGAAAATAATATATTTTATTAGATAAGCGGTTAAAATTACGTTTAATTTAATGGAAATGAAAAATGGTAAAAATAGAAGAAAAAAGAAAATATTAAATTGCAGAGAGATAGGAATTCTTTTTGACGTAGGGTACAGAAGGATTCGGGAAACACATGGATCGACTGATGGAACTTTCGGAATACATGGTCAGAAGGATCAAGCAGATGCCTGACAAGTATTATCTAATCCTAGAACCAGAAATGGTGAACGTCTGCTTCTGGTATTTGCCAACACGCGTTAGGAACATGCCGCATACTCAGGAGAGAATCAAAATCTTAGCAGATGTGAGATTAAATCCTAACTCTTCTAATTCTCTACTCTTTTTTTAAACTCTTTTGTAAAATAACAATATCTTTAAACCTGTGCATTTCGACTATCAAACTTCTCAATTACGAATTCCAATATTCTGATTAATTTGACCAAGCTCTGACTATTCTTGTGAATAATATAATACTTACAAATCTCTTATTTATCACTGATTTACATAATAATAGCAATTAGCCAACAGTGGAAGAAGCAACAGAGGAAAACAATCTGTTCACAGATCTGTCCAATCTTGAAAGGCCGAATGATGCAAGCTGGCACACTGATGGTAGGTTACCAGCCGGACGATCGACGACCCAATTTCTTCAGAAATATTATTTCGAGTGCCGCGGTCACGGAAGCGGACGTTGATTTTCTTCTGGCGGAAATGGACCGGTTAGGCCACGATCTGTAAGAAACCTGCCTGTTCTAATTAATTACATAATCAACCGAGGGGGGCGCGATTTAACGTAAATCACGACACCATATCGAAAGTGAAATATTCCTGTTGATATTAAAAATTCATTAACGAGCAGGAGTTTAACCGCGTTCCATCACGTGTACAAAATCCGGAGATCAAATTCGAGAATCGCAATCATGGTTAATAATTTAAGCACCTCGTCTACCTGCTCTCTTCTCTTCTCTATTAATGAAAACCATTTCCATTATAAATCGATATCGTTTGATTAATGATAATTTACTTTTACCATCAACCATGAGAAATGAAAACCAAATGGCTAAATTAACGATAATTGTTTCTCCATCGATGGAGATTATTATATTTTGCCTTGATATTTAATTTGATTATTCGTAATCGAAATTGACGAGAGAAGGGAGTGGGTCGCGTGATCATCATCGTAGCACGAAAAAGAAAAAAAAAAAAAACGCTTCTTCAGCATATTTACGAAGCAACAAACCGAAGATCAAAGGATACTCATAGCACGTAAGTTCTCTAGATGTAAGCGTATATCCGTGACGAAACGAAAGAGTCAAGTTAAAAAAAAAAAAAGCTCTAGCGATGCTTCCGGCCGTAAATGTTACTAGTTCTCATTCTCAGCGCTATAAATACTTTCTTAGAGAGTGAAGGGAGACGAAGGAATAGCAACGATGTGTTTTCATCGTAAAATGAAGCAATAGTAAAGTATAGATATATCACGCTTATAGCCAACGATTCGGTCCCTTCTTTTTTTAAATCGATAATTTGATTTCTTGCTCGAGGATATATGCATACGAATGCATATCAATCAGTTCCGTTTCATTTATTATTATTCTTGCAGAATTTGTAGAGACGTAGTCGAAATTGATCTCGAACGAACAATTAGATTTGCGCAAGCTTCCCAAGTTGGCGCAAGTTGGACAATATAAGCAAATAAGCGAGTAGAAATTTCAAAAAGGGAAATTGAAATGAAGAAAAAAAAGAATTCGTTCGAATAGAACGAGATAGAATGTACAAAATATTTTTACTTGGAATGGAGTACTTATATAGAAGAAATATAAAGACGATATCACGATTAAAAACGATAGCTTTAATTTCTCTGTTTAGATAGTTACAATCCATTTTGCTCGTTAATTTGTTGAGATGATTAAAATGAATTTGTTATTTATTGATCGTTTGCAAAACTGATCGTTACAATGAAAGAGATATGGCCTGCATCCATTATTATACAAATGTACGTATGTTATTATTTATTATCGAAGAGTTTCACCAAAACAGAGAGAGAATATTTATTAATATACGTATAGGAAACTTGGGGGAAAAAAAGAAGTATAAATATAACGTTAAACCAAAAAAAAAAAAAAAAAAATATAATTATATGAAGAACAAAGCGTATATTATATACATATATATAAATATATAAATATATATTTAGCGTTGAGATTTTAAAATACAAAACACAAACCCATGAAAGTACATGCTTTTTCAAGTATTCGTGCGAACGGTTGTCATTTAGTTCGTCGAATTACCTTTATATACTGTTGATCTTATTATGTAGTTGATAAAGTCTTCTTAGAAATTAGTTTTCGTAGTTTATCGAAACGCGTTTACGTCTTTCACGCGACACATCTTTTTAGAAGAATTCTATTCGATCGTTCGTTAGTTAGCTCATCACCTCGATATTGGTTCGTTTCATTGATTGAAAATAAAATACATCATTAATCGTAGATTTGTTTCTTTTTTTAAATGGAACGAATAAAAATATTTACGATAATTTTGCTCCTGTGAGAAACGACGAAAAAAATCTCAATCTGTTCGACAAAGAGAATAAAAGGCAACACTTAAGAACCGAATGAATTCTATATAGATTTTTCGATTCACTCGCCACTGAGGTAAAGAATGAAGATTACTTTATAAATATAAGTAAATACAAAATATTTAGGTATATATTTAAGAAAGGATACCTAAATGTATTTATTGTATTAAATCTACGAATTTACTTAACGCTTTCTTTTTCCCGTCGATACTTACCGAGCCGATAGGTCGATAGATATTCACGAGAAATCACAAGAACGAACGAACGAGATATAAGAAAGCGTAGAAAAAAACGTGAAATATCCAGAGAACGTGTTAAGAGAGGCAAAGGATCGATGCAATATTGTTTAATTGATAGAATCGATATTTAAGTCAATCTTTAACGATCAATCTTAATGATATATCGATTTAAGATTGACGAGAGAGAGAGAGAGAGAGAGAGAAACGAAGATTCGTTTGAATTGTTATGTAAAATCGAACGAAATCATGATGCATTAAACAGTATTATAAGCTGGCAGAGGATATGTATTTTTAAAAGAAAAAAAAGAAAAGAAAAATATGAAATGAAAGAGATAACAAACAACCATTCATCTGACCATGATTACCGATACCTGCAGAAGAGACATTTTATCGAATCGTTGTTGTTAATTGTCTACAATTTTATCGGCGTTATACATTTTTTTAACCACCAGTCGTTGATATTGTCGACTGAATGGCTGATTTTACTTCGATGAATTCACTCTTGTATTTTATCGTAATTAAAAAAAAAAATGAGAATATAACGTCATGCACACATATACATACACAGGTACACCAAAGATTTACGGGAGAGGGGGGGGGGGGAATAATATATTTGTACAGGCAATGAATTTACTAAGTAGAAATCTCGAATCTTTAATCCGCATACAAATACACGTACACTTGGCAAACTTAGGAATTTCACATCGTTGTGAATGTAAATGTAAGTGGTCGCCATATCAGTGCCGTTAATTAACTACGGTTTTGTATATTCTTGTGCCCATTTCCTCCATCTACTCATCAAGAATCGAAAATTTGTAAATAAGAAAATATATAGAATATGTTCGCCATTTTATCGATGTGAGAATTATTTGAGATTTAAAATGTGTAATTAAAGTGTTATATTCTATTCCTGTGACATTGTTATTGCATATTTTATGCTGTTATAAATCATTATTACACACTGTATTGTAATTTAATACGTTGTTGCACATATGCACTTTAATTCCTATATGCACTAGTAGCGAGATATGCACGATGCACTGTTGCACTTTTCGATGCACCTAATTAAAATTTTTTTTTTTAATTTTCAAACCAGCAAAAGCACCAAACTAGACGAAATCGGCACAAGTATAATTAACGTTGGTCAATTCCTTTTCTTGTGATTTATCAAATTGATCCAGGGCTCATCAACCCTGATCTCGTTATCGTTAATTATTAGTCTTAAGTTGAAGCAACAACAAAGTCCGACGTCTTCCAAAATAAAAAAGAGAGAGAGAAAGAGAGAGAGAAAAAAATCAGAGCAGCTATCCTTATATCATAAAATTGTATGTAATTAAGCAAAGAAAAAAAAAAGAAGAAAACGAGAGTACATTTATATATATATATAAATAGATGAGAAGAAAATTATATATAAATAAATATATATATATATACATGTATGTACACGTGTGAGCAAAACTCTCCTTGACGACAAAATGAGCGAAAGAATATGGACTATGTAAAGATCTATGTGGCGTTGTAGCGATGATCGCTGACACGTCGTGATTCTATGACAAGTATCATCTAATTGACCCTATTATCCACTGTATATCAATGTCTAATAAACTGCTGTTATCCCAAATTGTCAATAAGTGTTATGTGTTATTGATTGTATCCTATCATCAATACAAAAAAATTATTTGAAACAATTATCACGAATTTATAGGCTATTAAAATTGATGTATTATTTGAAAATATAAAATATATAAATTGATGTAATATTTGAAATATTTTAAATATATTGGGAATATTATATCATTTCGCTTAAACAACAAAATATGGAACGAAATAGACGAAATATTTTGAAGAACTAAAATGAAAAAAAATGGTAAAGAATTGCTCAATTGCTCAACCCATGGTATATTAATTCGATATTGAAAATTTTTAATAAAATGATAAAAAAAGAGAAACAAGATGGAAAAAATTAGGAACCAGTTAGACCAGAGGCTCGTTCATAAACAGATGAATAAATTATCTCATAGTGGCTAGTCGACCTTGACAAGCCTCTACCATTATCATATATACATATACGAAAGTTTTAAAGCAGTGATTTAACTCAGTTGCGTGAAATAACCGTGATCATGAAGTCATTTGTGGAATATTCCTCAGATTGTGATTTTCCAATTGAAAATCTTCCTTATGGTGTCTTTTCTACAAAAAATAATGTAAGTAATATGAAATAATGTATATATCGAATTGTAACATTATTCGTGGAAAATTATAGGTTATGTAAATTTTAAAAAAATATTTTTTATTGTGATCATTTGATATAGTAACAATGGTGAAAAATAACTAATATACTACGCGATAGATTTTAAAAATAATTTTTTCGGCGTAGCTAAAATATTTTTAGCTTATTGTTAGTGCAGTAAAGCGCCATCTAGTGATTGGAATAGTAAAAATACACTATAAAAACACGAATATTCTAATCAATTTCAAATAAAATTAATCGTTTGGAATGTTAAAAAAATTTGTTTGGAATGTTTGATAAATAAATTATCATCGATAATTTTTTTAATTTGAATTTTTTTAAATTGAATTTACCAATAATACCTACTGTCAAACCACATTATCGAATGTTGGTAACATACTGTATTAAGATAAATTTCAAATCTTTTTCAGCCACAAAAAAGAATAGGAGTAGCAATAGGCGAGGAAATTTTAGATTTATCTGCTATTGCGCATCTATTCGATGGACCATTATTAAAAAACAAGCAAGATGTATTTCGTCATGATTATCTCAACGATTTTATGGCCTTGGGAAGATCCGCTTGGATAGAAGCCAGGAACAAACTTCAAGACTTGTTATCAATCAGTAATCCAACCTTGCAGGAAACCAATATTCGTTCAAAGTAAAATAAGAATTGCAATAAAAATGAAAAATAACAAAATCGTATATTTTATACTACTTTTTCAGTACCTTCGTAAAACAAAATGAAGCAATAATGCATCTACCAGCAAAAATTGGTGATTACACAGATTTTTATTCTTCGATTTACCATGCCACAAATGTGGGCATTATGTTCCGTGGAAAAGAAAATGCTCTGATGCCAAATTGGTAATTAATTAGCCTTAAATTAATCACGTTGAATTATAATAATGATTATATACATCCATAGGAAACATTTACCAGTTGCTTATCACGGAAGAGCGAGTTCAGTTGTTGTTTCTGGGACACCGATAAGAAGACCTCTAGGTCAAACAGTTCCGATAGAGGGTGCAGATCCAGTTTTTGGTCCTTCAAGATTAGTAGACTTTGAATTGGAAGTAGCTATCTTTGTCGGAGGACCACCTACAAATTTAGGTGACGCTGTTCCAGCGTCCAAAGCTTATGATCATATTTTTGGAATGGTTACCATGAACGATTGGAGCGGTAAATTTGACGCAATTAATAATAAATAACAAAAGAAAAGTACATGGTCAATTGAAAAAAAAAAACTTACAGCAAGAGACATTCAAAAATGGGAATACATTCCATTGGGACCCTTCGGTGCAAAAAATTTTGGAACCACCATTTCTCCATGGATAGTCACTATGGAAGCTCTAGAGCCTTTCAAAGTACCAAATGTGCACCAAAATCCAACTCCATTCCCCTATTTACAACATAATGAATCTTGTAACTTTGATATTAAATTAGAAGTTGACATTAAATGTAAGCGTTTCATAAATAAAAAAAAACTGTTATTTAGAAAAACAAAAAAAGAAGAAATTGTGACATACTTTTTTATTATTTTTTTCTAGCTCCAAACGGTATCGTTACAACCGTCTGTCGCAGTAACTATAAATTCCAATACTGGACACCCCAACAACAATTAGCTCACCATACCGTAACCGGATGCAATATCAATCCAGGTGATTTAATGGCTTCCGGTACGATAAGTGGCGAGGTGTGTCTCTAAAATTTTGCCCATTACCTTTTCAATTAAATCGTCGATGTCCAGACGGTAAAAAAATGTAACTTCGAATCCTGTTACACGTTTCAGGCTGCTGATTCTTTTGGCTCCATGCTTGAGCTCTGTTGGAAAGGCACTCGTCCCATACTGTTAAAAGATGGGACCAACCGGAAGTTCCTGCAAGATGATGACGAAGTGATTATTCGCGGTATGCTCGCTACTTTCATTTGAATAATTTAACATGTATATAACCACGAGATTATTGACAATCGAGCATTGTTTTACAGGTTACTGTGTCGGTGATGGATACAGAATTGGATTTGGATCGTGTTCGGGGAAATTATTACCTGCTCTTATGAAATGATTTTTTTAATATATTAAATTTCGTATACTTTGGAAGTTAATTTGAAAACTACTTATCATTTTCACTTTTGTATATTGTATACATTTATGAATAAAATATGTAGTGAATAAAAAATTATGTATGTAGTATATTAATATATGTATAATATTATTGTTGGAATATATGGTGAAAAGAAAAAATTCGATTGATACGAATGAAAATGTTAACAACGTTGCGATGGAACATACTATAATATAAAATAACTGGAATATCGATCCGTAAAAATAGTGAATTCGATCAATAAAGACAGCAGTACAGGTGCAAGTTGAACGTAAGTATCAACGAAACATGGCTGGTATGCTGTTAAAGTGAGTAAAATCCGATGGGATTTCGTTTATTTAATAGTTTTTATTCGTAGATAAATAAAATAATGCACAAAAATCATTTTTGCACTTTTTTTTTTTACTTAAAGAAATGTAATATCTATCGTACAGTTAACATATTATGTAATATCTATTAAACGGGGTCAGAAATCAGATCAATAATGTCAATGATATAGCACCGTAATATTCTAATCACTAAACTAGAACTATGCATTTACCTTGACATAATTAATTTTCCTCGCTAATTTAATTTCTAATTTTATGAAAAGTCATACATTTCAAACTGTACAGTCATAATACTTTATTATGTTCTTAAATTATGTTCTTAAATTCCAATAAATTTTATGATATCTAATTCAAAAATGCGTATATTTTTAATAATATGCAAATTTTTTTTGAACATGATAAATCATTTTACTATAATAAAAGTAGTTCTTTTTAAAAAAAATTATTCTTTATTTTAGATATAAAAATATATAATTTTTTTTTGTATTTTAAAAGAGCTTAAATGACGTTTTGAATGACGTTAATATGATCTTAAATAATCTTGAAATAAACTTAAAGAACAAACAAATTTTTTAGAAGTTTGCACACTTTGGAGGCGTTAGACGAACCAACGGCAAAATGGAACGTCCCTTTAAAAGATGGAAATCATGTAATAGAATTCGAGCATGGTACAGCGACAGGTCGTCGATTGGTAAGAATAGATGGGAAAGAAATATTCCACAGAGATTGGATGTTCAATCTAGTTGGAGACGAAGTCTTCATGTTCAATGGTAACAAATTCGTAATTAGAATCGATCCAATTCCTGGTAAGTATATTTTACATTAATCACACGTATCATTCAATTAAAATCTTATTTCTTAAATAAATTTTAACACAGGTTTAAAATATTCTTACACATTGTGGGTAAATGGCAAGACTTACAAATATTTTGTGAGATCGCAATCAAAAATTTTGGAAACCTGGTTGGCAAAAGTTAAGAATGAAGAATACAGAATAGTGTTAGGTAATGATACTTCCTCTTCTCGATAATAAAAAAGATTATTAGTAAAAAAGAAATAATAATATACGTTTTATAGATAAGCAAACGCAGAACGTTTGGGTTAATAGAGAACAGATCGAAACAGAGGTAAAAAAAAGAAAAATGATTTCTCTTATAATTAAAATAAATTATAATTAATAATTGTTTACTTTAGAATGAATTTACCGACGATGGCGCAGAAATTCTATTCTCGGTAGGGGATATTCCAGCTACAATTAGAACTTACAGTTCTGGACAAAAAGACATTGGAATAATATATTCTTTATACATCGATGACATAGAGATCGAAAAAGAAGCTCTTCTAAAAGAAGATGAAGAAATATAACCAGATATATGATGAATTTATTTCATAATTATGTTTTTATTATTTCGCGTACCATAAAAATTTATTATACTTTGTACATAACATACAACGAATCACTATACAATAAAATCATTGAAATGATTTAATTAATTGTGAATCAAACTTTGCAATTAAAATCTTGAACACAGCAAAAGAAAAAAGTTACAGTTCTATTCAGGTCATAAATAATAAAAATTCTAACCTTAATTTTATCTTCATCTCAGATTTTTTCCCCGGATTTCTTTAAACGAATCATTAATCGCAATGTCTCTGTCAATACGAGAAAGTATAATCAGTATCGGATCTCGAATGCTCCAAAGGCATATAGAGGAAGAGATACATTATGATGGTGCGTGCCAATCAAATATTATGGACCAACGTTCCTCGTTTTAACCTAATCCTCGATCATTATATAGTAATGGACATCGACGAGTTGCAGGAATTGCAAGAAAATCTATTGCAACAAATCTGGATGTTGACTTTAGAGAACGATATTTATGAACGATACTTGTCACGTCAGGATCCCCACAGTCTAAAAGGTAAAGAGTAATTATTCTTCCTTAACAAATATCAACGAAATTAAACAGATCTCGATCTCATAAAATTCACGAAACGAAAAAAATTTGTCAATCAATCAAGTGATAAAGGCTATCCTCGAGAGAGAAAAGATCACTCGAAGAATGACAGCGCACTTGATACCAAGAGCGCTATCGCATGTAAGCTTTCGGGAAAGTTTCTTCAATTTACACGATCCGGGAAGACTAAGTCCAACCGTGCCCAGTATATCTGGTTCCCGATCACCATCCATAACACGACTTAGAGCGACAACAAGTGTCGTAACATTGACCGAAGGAGCAAAGTTAGAGAACTTATTTAAACGACACCTATTTCTTCTATCTCTTCTTATTTCTCTTATTATTTCACGCATCAGAATCCCGATACCTCATCGTATAGTAATGGCGAAGAAGGAAGTGGAGGAATTGAAGAAGAAATTGGATCTTTTGCAAAACTATGTGAGAAAGAGGAAAATGGACTTGAAGGCTCACATAGACGAGATCGAAATACGGATCAATGAGATCCAAGAGGCGAAGGAGGATTTCGAAGTGGAAGTGGTTACTGAGGGCGTGGATCGATTGACAGGCAAGATACCTGCCGAACGACTGACCAGGTGATTGCGCGTGTGATCGGAACGTGTTGCAACGTGTTGTGAATGCGTTTTTTTTTTTTTTTTACGCGTGGGATCTCGCGAAGATTCATCGAGGAATGGCTGAAATCGGCGAGCACGATACTGGAGAGGTTGAGATTGAAGACGGCCACTGTAAAGCTTCAGATCAAAAGGGCCAGACTGCAACTTGCACAGAGGAAAGAGCTCGGGGAGATGCTTCACGTCATCGATTTCGAGAAATTGAAGATCGAGAATCAGGATTTAGCAAAGTTGCTCGAGGAGAAGAATCTTTATGTGATCGATATGAAGAAGATCGCAGGTGATTGATCGAGAAATGATCTTTATTATTACGGAGATTGGGTACGTACATTTTTTGTTCGTAACAGGTTACTACCACTTGAAATTGACGCAACACAAGCAGAAATTGAACTCTCTGTCGGTGAAATTGAAAGAGTTGAAGGAGGAGACCATGTTGAAACAGAAACAGATCGAGGAGATAAATATTGAGTATGATATTTTCGCGAGCCAAGTGAAGCGGCAACAGAAAAAATTGACGCAATTGTTGAATTTCACGGAGAATCATACTGTAAAAATTTACATAATCTTATTTTTCTTTCCGATAAAATATAAATACAAGTTGGTGGGATTACATATGAGGTAATATCATATTTTTTTAGGCACCTGATATTTTAGATTTTATCAAACTTCAAGAAGAATACGTGGAATTAGAGAAATCTTATAAATTATTGCAGAGACGTAGGAATATAGAAAAGATAATATTCGAAGAATATAAGAAGCAAACAATATGGAACGAAAAAAATTAAAAAAGAGGCAAAAAGTAGATTTATTTAGAACATTTACCTAATTTTCCTATTTCCTATCCTATTGTAGTTTCTAAAATCGTTTCCACTATTCGAAGGCAAAACGCTTTTTTGCTGGGAGCTAGGGATGCAATTATATCTGTAAAAGAATTACGACGGTCTAGTACCGTCACTGGTTACGCCACCGGATAATTGGAGTTACGGTGCTTGTTTAGAAGACGAAGGAAGCTTGAAACGATCGTCCACTTTCCATGACAATATATACTTTCCATAAAACACGAATATTAAAAAGATTTTTTTAAACGCAACGACGACTTAATAATTTTATTTTTTGATCCAGAAATTCAATTTTTTATATTTGCCCCCAATGGTAAAATCTTTCAACATTTTAACAACAACACTTCTTTCAAAACATTTGCAATAAAAAATTTTATCAAAATAAATTTTGCTAAAATGATTCGCGATTAAGATAAAAGTTATCATTTCCGAATGTGGAATGGATTCACAATTTTTGAATCATTATTGAAACGATCATCAATAATTTTATTCAATTCACTTTTTCATAAAGATCCCTCGTTAAAAACTCGTTTCGGTTCTCTGGTTTTTTTTTTTTTACAAAAGAAACGAAGCTTCCCATCTATTTCCCATTTCCATGAATTGCATTCATGCATTGTTGTAAACGCATTAAGAAACTAAAATCGGGTTGAAGATGGGAGGATTTTGGCGTGTGCCACGGTATGTTGGATGGTCACGCTTCACGCACTGACGATGCCTGTCCCTTCCTCTTTTCGCCCGTGGAATATCCGTCCCGGAAGACCATGTCTCTCTTTCTGAATCTGGTGATTCAGTTTCGCGACGACAACATCGACGTACCGATTGTTCGATCAACTGCTGATCGAACTGGTGAACTATTTACCGAAATTTTTTCTCCGAAAAATTTGAATAATATTTTATTTGAAAGAAAAGTTGAAGATATCTTCATCGAATTTGATGAACTTGTATATGTGTGGGACGATATAAAAAAATTACAATTTATCATATCAAATCAAAAGTTTTCAGTTATAAAAGGAAGTGAAAACTAGATTTTATGCGTTAACGGATCATTGTGAAAAAGAAAATTTATATTTCTTCTTCATCAATCTTGTTTAAAGTATAATTTAAAAAAAAGAATTAAAAAAATAAAAAAATAGACGCGTTAGTGAAATGACAAGAATAATATGCTCAGTGGTGCATGAAGAATCGATTGGTCAACATCCTGACTTTCTAATTCCATTTTATTTTCCGTGAGGATGAAAAACGATTTCGAGAACCATCCACGACTTTTTCTATCTATTTGATTGATTTTTGGTTCCATTTGAACGACGGTAAAGATGATGATCGTAAGAAAATTAATCGGTATCTTGATCGTTTGCTCTCTGATGCAGGGGAGCTTCAACAAATATTTAGAGGTAAATACAATATCAATTCAAATCTTTTCTACTTCATTGTCGTTCATAAATAATCATATTAACGGTATTTGGAGATGATACACTTTGATAAAAGCTTGCCTACTTGACACGGTTGGAGGAAGACTCATTATACCCTCAAGGATATTAGGCCGAATTCGTATTTAAAATTCTAATTAGTCATGCATCACATAATAGCATTATCTAGGCCAGAAGAGAATGATTTTCACGCTTAACAAATAGCGTTGCAAAATTTTATTATATTGTTGTTTGATTAGACGAAATAGAACGTGGTCGAATGTATTAAAATCCCTTTCATCTTTCTTTGAATTTAATTCAGGGTATGAACGTGAATTTAGGGGATGCTTTGCAATTTCTTAGAGAATATGACAATGAAGCTTCTGCGATGTGTACGAGAGTAATAACAGCGCAATGGAATTTTGCGACGAATGTCACTGAAGAGAATCGTCGAAGAATGGTTAAATTATTAACAATTAAATACAAAATTCTAATAAAAACTTAATCTCCAAAAATCGTTATTTCTTTATTTCTATTCTATCGTAGATAGAGGAACAATCTTTGAAGTTGAAATTTGATCGAATTTCATGGAGAAAAGCCGTAAGTTTTGCTTGGAGTCGAATAGGAGATCCCTTCGCTCAAAGGGAACTAAAAATGATTGCTATAAAAGGACGAAACTCTTTGACCGATGACAAATTCAACGAGGTAAATATTAAGATATTATGATAGTCAATTAAAAGATTAAAAAAATATCGTTAATATTTTCAGTTACACAATCTTATATTGGAAATGAAGGAAATATACGCGAGAACACGAGTGTGTCCTTACAGAACTATAGAAGTAAATTGCGATCTAAGTTTGGATCATGGTTAGTTTCTACATCAAGTTTAAAGTGAAGATCAATCGATATAAAAATATCAAATAATTGTATTCACATTTTTTTTCAGATGTGAATAAGGCAATGGCAAAATCGAAAAACTATGATGAATTATTATATTATTGGCATGCTTGGCACGAAGCCACTGGGCCTCAATTGAAGACTAAATACATAAGATATGTTCAGTTAGCGAATCAAGCTGCTAGATTAAATGGTGATAGAATAAAATTATATTTAAACATGTGTACATATAAATATTTTTTTCTAAAAATTTTCCCTTTTCAAGAATATCTTTCGATCTAGGATTTCAGGATGCTGGTGATCAAATGAGAGAGTTTTTCGAAGAAGAATATTTCCAACAGAATACAGCGGATGTAATGTCGGCCATTATGCATTTGTACAAAAATCTCTTCACTTATGTGAGGACAAAATTATTCGAAAGATACGGGGACAAAGTGAGAAGGGATGGACCACTTCCGGCGCATATCTTGGGGAACATGTGGGCGCAAAATTGGGAAGAACTTTACGATCTGGTGCAACCGTTTCCGGCAAGTAAGAAGCTTGATGTCACTTTGGAGATGATGATTCAAAGTTTCACATCTTTAAGGTAATATTTATTCACCCATTTGAATGATATTTAAATTTATTATTAATTGATAAATTTCAAAAAGAAAAAAGAAAAAGTTAAATAATTGAAAAATATTGAAGGATGTTCCAAATAGCAGAGGAATTTTTTACTTCGCTCGGTATGAAACCGATGCCTCCTGAATTCTGGAGATTCTCCTTGTTTGAGAAACCTATCGACAGAGACGTAAAATGTTCTCCTAGCGCTTGGGATTTTTGTAATAGAATCGATTACAGGTATAGTAATTACCATTACTAATTAATATATTACAATTTTACTTATTAAAGTTTCATTTTACAGGATAAAACAATGTACGAGAGTCACGATGGAAGATTTACTATCGGCTCATCACGAAATCGCTCGATTACAATATTATTTGCAATATCGGGATCAACCATTATTATTTAGGAACGAGGCAATTCCAGGTGACGAGAAACATCATCAATCTAGTAATGAAAGTTCAATGATTGGATGAATATTAATTTCACGACTGTAAATTAGGATTTTTCGAGGCAGTCAGCGATGCAATCGAACTCTCAGTGTTCACGCCTCAACATTTAAGTAAACTCGAATTACATGACAATACTACGGATGATTATGGAAGTGATATCAATTTTTTAATGCTAATGGCGCTTCGTAAAATTGCCTACATGCCATTTGCTTACATAGTCGATGAGGTTTCGCAATATTTTATTTACAAATACGATATCTTTATTGAAATCGATATATAAAATTTGTATTTGCATTATGTTAAAAGTGGAGATGGTATGTGTTCAACGAGGGTGTTGCGGATATGACGAACAAATGGTGGGAGTTAAGATTACAATATCAAGGAATTGTTCCGCCAGTGCCACGATCGGAAAGAGATTTCGATCCTGGTTCAAAATATCATGTACCAGCTGATGCTCTTTACGCCAAGTATTCAATTTTTATTGCAATTATAATGCAGTTTAATAAATACCAATATTGATATGACTTTATTTTTAGATATTTTGTTGGTGTTGTTTTGCAATTTCAATTGTTCGAATCTTTATGTGAAATAGCAGGTCACACTGGTGATCTACATACCTGTGATTTTTACAGATCACGAGATGCTGGAAGATTATTATCGTACGTGATAAATTGTTATATGACTATAGATAAAAATTAAAAAAATATATCTTATTTCTTTTTTATTTCTTTAGTGATGTATTATCAATGGGTTCATCTAAACCTTGGAAAGATGTTGTACGTCAAATGACAAGGGGAAGAACAAACAGAATGGATGCTGGAGCTATATTGAGATATTTCGAGCCTTTAAATCAATGGTTGAAACGACAAAATGAAATGGAGCCGGTTGTCGGATGGATTACAAATCGCGACGATACAGGTAAATATAAAAATAATAAAAAAGATTATATTCTAATATATTCTATATAGTTATAATTGTTCTATAATTTATTTCAGCGTTATTTTTTCACTGGTACCAAAATGGTGCTCGAAAAATCACCTCGCAATTATTTCTTCCACTGGTTTTAATTATTTCGCAAGTTTTAATGTGTTAACAAATAAATACAGATTCAAATATCATTGTACATATATAAAAAATTATGTAAATATCTTATGAAACCTTTAAAACAAAGTTTATATAATCAAAGATAACTATATTTTGTGTATATGTACTAGCAATTGATGCCAAAAATCAGCATATTTATATGTTATTATATTAAATGTTCCCATAATATTTTGTATTGTAAATTTATTTATAAATATTCTGGATCAATCTTATTGCTGTTAAAAATAATAACCAACAGTTGTTTATGAAGTTCCCTGACAAAATATCTATTAGCAAACATGGCCGTCGCCTATATATTAACGATACGTAGCTCGGTAGATGGCTCAGCTATCGATGATTATGTTCCGATCATCAAACAGTCTTTTACAATATACGACATAGAAAACATGTGAGTTTTTTTTTGCTAATATATTTATGTAATTTTTATTAATAACAACGTAAGTCAACGCCGCCAGAACGTAAAAATCATCCGGTAAGTTGTTCTGTCCAATTTATCTGCGTAAAACATGCGAATCGAAAGAATCAATATTATAATTGTCTCGCAGCACGAACAACAGGACTTTGTTGGTTAGAAATATCAACACTCGTCTTTAAAAAATGGATGTGATTTTTTGCCGGGGCATGAGATTTGCATCTACTTTAGGATTTACTCCTATACTAGCGACAAAAAATTTCTTAGAAACAACGCGTTTTATACGGTATACCAATTCAGGACGTTGGAGATTTAAACTTTTCGGTAGGTTAACGCGTAAAGTTATTACTTTGACAATGATTCAAACATACAAGACAAGATGATATCGTCAATTTCAGAAAAGCATCTACATTATAGAAATTTGTCATGCAATTATGTCCCGTTTTTCAATCATATTAAAGCGTACGAAATACCATATAAGCATAAATTTACTAAGAATATTCTGGTGGCGCGATATTATAACTTGAACGCTAGTAAAAGGAATATCCCGAAGATAGAACCGGCAAAAAAAGTAACAGTATTTGCGAAAATGAAGCAAATGACGAAGGACTATTGGCATGTTTTAATACCAGTTCATATAATTACTTCTATAGGTTGGATGGTCTCGTTCTATTTTATAATTAAAAAGTAAGCTCTGTTATATGGTGTTTGTATGGTAAGTTACACTATCACACTACTTTGTTATGTCTATTTTTTCAGTGGTGTGGATATTACATACGTTATGGAACTTATGCATTTTAGTAAGAAATATGTAGAAGTGGTAAAAAACTCAGATGTTGGAAATTGGGCATTAGCATATCTTCTTTATAAAATATTCACACCTCTTAGATATACCATCACTATAGGTAATTAAATAAAGATTTATGTATTAAATTTACGATTACGAAAAATGAATAATAATACGTACATGACATATAGGATGTACAACAATGGCAATTAGACAACTTAGCAAATCGGGAATTGTAAAACCTCTGTCATTTGGTAAACAATCACATATGGTACGCAAATATAATTATATTTAAATATTGTTTTTTTTTTATTTAATTTAAGATTAAACCCAATTTACTATTCCAATTGTTATTTCCAATTAAAACTGATATCTAAATTACTTCTTACATGCCTTCTTGATGTAGTCTGCATATGAAATTGTGTGTAGGTTTACTTTCTTTTATTACCAGAGATTAGAATTTATCTCTATTTCTTTTCTGCTTGTCTTAAACTTTACGCTATTTTTATATTTAGGGTATTCAATTTTATATTTCTTCGTATATGTAACATGTACCCTATGTTGTAGACAGCAGAATCAAGTAAAACAACAAAAGCAGGATTCAAAACGATAGAACGAAGTACGGAACCTCCGAAAACATAGCGAATAGATAAGACGAAGCTGTTTGATCAATGGATAAAAATTTATAATCTGAAAACCTGGATGATCGGGTGGATGTATATTAATTCTTGTAAATGTGTAAACGTTATGATGTTACGATAAAAGAAAAATCTTGTATGTAATATTATACAAAAGATAATGTATAACTCCTTTACCTTTAAATCTTAAAAATCAACTAAGGCTGGTCAGATATATCTTTCTTTATTGAACGGATGTTTTTTTACCTTACATACCGTGCATACATTTAAATAACATTGTACTTTTCACCTACAATACACGCAACTTATCATCAGCCTATGTTATCTACACGCAGAAATATTTATTAATCAGATATAGAGAAGCTTTTTTTTGGCAGCACATTTTGTGCGTTGTAGTATCTTAAAATTATTCACCTTTAATACATCGAATATTCCTAGATTCAAATATTAAGATTTATATAAATTTCCAACAATAACATTATGATTGTATCATTAAAATTCCTGAGTAATAATCATAAACGTCAAAGAGTATTGCATGAAATTTTTGATACTAATAATTGATATATGATGTATTGTCGTAATAAATACTGTTAGCAAACGCGATACATCGAATATGGTAATAATACGGCATATTTATTATAGACCATCATACGAATCCAAATTCTTAATCGTAAAAAAGGAAAAAAACGACCTGACAATAAAATTGTGCACATATATACACGAGCTAAAATAAGGAATCATTGCTTAACGACGATATAATTATTATGCTAATATATCACAGTTGCCTGCGCAACTCGTTCATCCTAACGAGATTACTGCATTGTCGCAGTACCTTAGACAAAATAAATAAGAGCACATATATTAAATATACCGTTAACTTATATTAATAGCTGTCAATAGAAAATTATTTCTTGTAGATCGCAAGGATATACACGTATATTGTTAAAAAAGATCAAACATCGACCTGATTATAAAATCTAAATGATCCCAAGAGGCAGTGTATGTATGAAGGCGTTTTAAGCTTATAGATATCATCTGCAGTCAATATACATGCATTGTTCTTGTACATACTATATTAATTATTGTATCTACATATATATTCAACAAGACTCTTTCTATTGTTTTCAGATATATATTCTCAAATATATATTCTCGATATAGATTGCAGCATCTGCAGACAATGTCTGTAAGTATCTACTCGCCTTAAATATTTCAATTCTGTATCCAGTCTTGCTAGGTTATGTCAATATCTCAAGTTATAGAGGAACAATAAAGCTATATTATTTTCGTAGATATAGATTAATCATATTGCATAAATATCAACATCTGTGTTTTCTATGAATTTCTACCTTGTAAACTTTTTATACTTTGATAGACATACTTAAGGTTTATATTATTAATAGGTCGGTTTGTTTAATCAGTTCTTACGATATTCATCATTGGATGATCGATACGCGAGCGCAGTTCAATTTTAAACATTCAATTTAAAACTTTTTAACTTAACTTATCCCATAAATTGATAACTAGCTGATACTGGCTGTGGTGCCCTGGGTTGCGTGTGGGATATGCGTTGGATGTGGCACGCACGACACATAAGTCTACCATCGAGTGGGTAGCATCGTTTGTCCGGTTCATCAGTCAATTGCATGCCACAATCTTCACAAACGTAACAATCTACGTGGAAATCTTTATCCATGGAAACGACTCTTACGGTCTCCTCTGTGCCCTGAAAAGCAAGACCTCCCATTATTCAAAATCACGTCTGTTTATAGAAGAAATTACATCACATAAAAATGAAATTGCTTACTTCGACTGGAGTAATTCCTTTACCACAGGAGGCACATTTTGGCGCGAACATTCTGTGGTAATCGTTTACGCAATAAATTTTATTGTCCACATCGACGGTGAAGGGAACACCATCAAGACATTCGTTGCAAACGCAACATCTAAAGCATCCTGGATGATAGGACTTTCCCATTGCTTGTAATATCTACGGACAAGGGAATATTCGGTTAATTACAATACCAACGTAAGTCACTTTAACATCATCGACTTAATTACCATTTCCATGATGAGATGACCGCAGATTGCGCATTTCTCGGCGGTTTGTTGGAAGCCAGAATACTACAGACAAAACGTTCTATGAGCTATGTCATCGTATCACGCGTCCATCGCAATTAGTGTCTTACGTACCAGATAATCTTCCTCGCAGTATACTCTTCCGTGAACATTATAGAACGCTTTGCCGCGTAACGCTCTTCCACACGAACAGCATATAAAGCAATTTGTGTGATAAAGGTTGCCCATGGCTTGGCAGGCTTGGCCAGCTCCAGTCACTTTTTCACCGCATGTATGACAGATACCTGACAGAAAATATCAACGTATGCTTTACCGATATCGCGTCAAAACCATATGACAATACTTTCTTTGTGGCAATAAACCCCTGAACTATTTTTGGAATCGTGCGAGTGCCTTGTCAACCATAACTCTATAGTTCGGTCGCATTGGCAGCGTTTAAAAATACCCCCATCGATACTCGACAATGAGATCCGCTCTTCAGGGTCAATAACTGTCAGAAACATAGGCTAATGGTACGATATAGAGGAACTAGTTGGAAGAAACGCACTTACAACTATCAATGGGTAATACCGGCCCTGCCATTCCCACCACAGAAATCCTTTATCCCTCATTCACCGTTCGTGACACTTGTAGTTTCGATTCAATGGTTCGGTTTCACTAGGCCAGTCTCGCTCGAACTAGAATCCGCCAACGAGTCGGACTAGTCTATCTATAACGAGATTACTTACCGCGGCGAGCGCGACCTGGCCACGGTTGTTTGCCGTGTATAGGACGTTACACGAAGAATAGTAACTCGTACACAAAAACGAAGAGGAGCACAAACTAAGCTCAACCTAAACGCCAGGCTACCTCTCGACTCGACATTGGCTCGCTCAACTGAAGTTCCTATCCACTCGCGCGAATCTTTCAGTTCCTCTTTGCCTCGTGTTTAAGCTACGTTCAAATAAAATCTAGACCACTATCGTGTATGAATAATTCTGAAAATACTGGTTTTAAAAAAAAATGTTAGGGAACCGAATATAGACATGGACGAAAGTAATTTGCATCGAATGCATGCTTATCTACATTGATAAGTGTTTCACGATTGTATAATTTTTCGAAATTATTAAAGTAAGAAAATGTATCGTAAAACTTTATTTTTAACGTGTGACAAAATATTTTGAGAAATTTTAAATAAGTAATATTATAAATCTCTTCGTCGATTATGATATGGAGGATTACTTCATTAATATCTCTGCACCCTTATTATTTGGAGGTTCTATCTTTATATTCGTGCAATATTTTTCATCGAAATATCGAATAATTGATTTCAAAAGAGAATAGACGTCGAGCAGAATGCCCAATGTGAACATCACCTTACGTTGCATCGATACTCACGTATAATACAAGGGAGAAATGATACATGTATGCGTGCATCTTACATACGCATGTAACGCGCACACTTGCGGTGCTTCATGTAGGTGCTAAGACACGTAGGTGGAAACGAATGGGCAGAGAGTGAATGTCAACGAAACGTCGCTGTTAAAAAGTTTCGCGACACACTGAAACTTGACTCCATTTTCCGAAACCGGTCTAACCAAGGAGGGAACTTGCGCCGTGGGAATTGGCACGGTACCCCTGCTAGTTTTTTATTCCTTCTTGGAATCGGCTGCAAATTATGGATCGGAACGTGTCGGAAATTAAGTCCCCTAATGATGGAATTATGCGAAATTATCGCATTTTTGATCTGTTTAAACATATTATATCAATATTGCTGGAAAAACGGATCACGATAATCGGTAAGAATAAATGAATATTGTTTCTAATAAAGATGATGCAACGAGAAAGTTTCGATCCAACAACAGATTTAAAGATATCGGTGGAATATCTTCGTGAACGTTCGACGATTGTTTTGGTATTGTTCGATTCTTACCGAAGTATTCCCCTTCCTCTTCTTGTTTTTCCATCTCCTCCTCGAGTTGTCTCGTCAACTCTTCTATTTTTCTCTCCGCTTCGGTGGGCCCCTGCAAGAAATAAATCACATCCCGCGTTGTGATCGGTCGGGTGACAAATGGTGCCATAGATCGAGATAGGATATTTCGTCATAGGGACACATAAATTTGCATACTGTTACAAACAACGTTTCAAGAGGCAAAAAGAGAAAAGTCGATACATAGGGTATATTACATGCATCGCGGGAATGCGTACACAGTCTATGAATAAAATATTACACGGTAACTATACAGCGTTTGTCAGGAGCTGACAATTTACAATGTGTGATTCAGCGCGAGTTCGAAGAAAGGACTCGTCACGAATCGTAAAATATCGCGTTTCTTTTCGAACGATGCCAAAAGTCCTCGAAATTCATGCCAATTTTTTTTTCTTTTATTTTTTTAGCAAATCATGAAAGGAAATATTTTTCGAATTGTTTGAAACAGTATATCCATCTAGGCAGACGGCTAATCTTATCGTCACATAGGTCAGTCATTACGTAAAATATTGGCGATAACGACTGACATTCGTGATGTCATCGTTTAAGTATGAAAAGAAACGCAAACTTTTTTATAACTTATTTATAACTTGAACGAGATGAGAATGACAAAAAAATGTACAATCTTTTTATTTTTTTCTCCAAGAATAATTTCTAAAAAATCATCGAAGTATATCGTATAAATAAAATGTTAGTTGCTATAGCTTTTATATTAAATCAAATGGATCAGCATGCTTGGCAATCGGCCAACACAAATCGAAAGCAATGATGCGTTCTCGTAACCCAATTAATATGGTTGTAGCGATACATTGTAGACTAATTTTACAAAGAAAAAAAGCAGAAAATACATTTATTAGAAAATTATTATATTAATTGGAGAAATTGGAGACAAGTTTCATATATTAATTTTTTTATGTTATAGTTCCTTACGGAAGGTCTGGGTGGTATGACATTGTAGGGTAGTAATCCCTTGCCAGATGTCGGTTTCATTGGTGGACTGACTGACTTTCTTTCCTCCCGTTCAGGTTCGGATGGCCTTTGTAACACAGGTACACCAGCGTTTAAAAAGACAGGGCCGGCCACACCACTGGTCACCCCTGGAGGGAGACTGGTAATTCTAGGTCCATGAATATTTGGATCAGATTCTGCGGTGGTAGGTGTACCAGTAGTCACTGGTGTTTGTATTTGACCACGTAGAGGACTTCCGATATTATTCGTGGAAGATGGTGACACGTGTCTTGGTGAATTAATCACGTTTTGTGCGACTGTATCAGATGATATTTGATTGTGAGTTGGACTTGATTTTGGAGAACCTCTTATATTATTGTTATTAGTTACAATTCTGGAATTATCATTACGGCTAGGTGAATACATAGGAGATGGTTTTGATGTTTCAGAAGGATCAGGTACTTCCTGAACAAAATTTCTGTCATTTTGTAAATTACTTAATCTTAAATGCTCTGTTGATCTGTTAGAAGAATAAATTGGAGAATTTCTGGCAGGAAAATCTGCTCTAGATTCTTGATGATGATAATTTCTTTCATTTGGTGGCAACACTCTATTTGGAGAGTAACAAGGAGAATTACGGCAAGCAGATTGCTCTCCTTGCCTCACACCATAAACAGGTGAGTTTCTAGCTTGAGTTTCTCCTGTAATATTTGCATTTGTACTTCTTGTATTTGATTCTATGTACGGTTTATAATTTTGAGGGCTATCCTGACGATATTGCGGCTGTTGTACACTCTCTATATGATTTGAAGCTCTAAACCCATGCTGTCCACTTATTGAACTATCCAGAGTGCCACGATAATGATGTGGTTCTGGAGGTAAGCGGATTGGTGGAGATTCACTGTGGTAAGGAAGCCCTGATCTGGGAGAATGTTGTTGCTGTTCAGAATTATAATTAAAATTTCTGGTCGGTGTTTGTAATTCAGATGGTGGAACATAAGCACTTCTACCAGCCTGATGATCCAAAGATGAAGAAGATCCTTGTAAGTACCTTGATGTAGAGGAATCAACACATCGTTGTAAACTTGAACCATCATAACTTTGACCACGTATATTGCTTCCTCTTTGTTGTGTATATGATAAATTTTGTGTTATACCTCTCTGATTTTGTGTTTGACCCACTTTACCAGTCATGACAACATAATCACCACCATTAATTGTAGCTGGATGATAATAATTTGGTGGAACCTGTGGACCAGGTTTATTTTGTGTATTATCTGGGAAATGTACTTCTTGAATATTTTCATACACAGGAGGTGCTTCATATGGAGGTAATTCTTTTGCTGGAGATGCAGATTGGTATCGGTTTCCAGTAGGCACTTGTGGTTGTGCTTTTCTAAAAGTGGGTTCATAAGATTCACTTGCTAATGAACCTCTTGGACTACTTTTAGGACTTTTTCTAGATTCCACTGGATGATAATAAGGAGGATGAGGTTGATTTTGTTGTGGATAGTAGTCAATATTTTCATATACCGGTGCTTGTTGATGACTCATACGGTTTTGATTTTGTTGTTGCTGAGCACTGATTTGTTCCACAGGTTTTGGTGTGGCAAATCTTGATGCAGCTATTATATTTTCACGTTCATATAACTTGTAATCAGTTGTTGATTGTCTGCAAGTATCAGTATTACTTTCAATAAAACTTTCAATAGCACCAACTGGTCTCCCAGACACTCTGGTATCCGTTCTTGTTATGGTATTTCTCGACACGGGTACCTGGGCCTCAGGTCGTGATCCCGTGACCCTACCGGTACCCGATGCACCGCCGGCGTCAGTGGGTTCATCCCCGAGTTGCAGATAACCTAGCTTTTGTACGTAAGAATCGTCGGCCGAGTTACACATTGGCAGTGATTCACAGTAAGGCGATCGATGATAAGAGAAAAAGATTTTTTAATTATTGTGCGAAAATTATATATCAATATTGTTTAAAAATAAGACTTCAAAAAAATCATTACAAAGAAATTCGACATCGTTCAACAAGCTGAATCAGCTTGGTGGTCGTCATGTCAAATCGATTTTCTTCGACTTGTTTCTTCGCCTAACCTTTTCAAATCGTCTTTACATATGTTTCTTTTTTTTCACAATCGTAATTTTTTCATGAGATGCGACAAAACACGACACACATATCGCGATGAAGTTTACTGGATAAAATCAGGGCCGTTTTTCCCCCACGATTTTGGGATACGCCCCGCGATCACGGCGCCTCAAACTCACGTCTTCTTGTTTCGACTAACGTTTGTCCACCGGCACAAAATCTCGGATAATTCGTTCCGTACGAAAAATCACCACCTGCGAAAATTCACACGATACGCACACACATGTATCCCACACGCATCGTGGTTCGTCAAACCAGATACCTACGAGACATTTTCCCCTGCTACGAATCATCCAGACGAAACCTGTGTTATTATCTTCCTCCACTATGTGGCGCCACAAACCCGATTTCAGTAAAGGAAAGTAAGATTCCTGCATTCAAAATAACGACTTATCCTTTTAGTTGAATTGGCGCTATGGTCGGTGCAAAATGAAAATTCATCCATTGACGAAGGTAATACATTTTCTTTTATTATAATAAAATTCAACTCTTTTTCTACAAGATGTTAATTATTATTATCAAAGATGATTATATTTACATTGATACTTTTAAAGAATGCAACTTTCATCGATATATTTTACGAAAGAAAGAGCAGATTTTTCCGTGGAGACAAAAACTAATAGATATCGTTTTCAGTTTGTTTTAAGACGCATAAATGGGCTCCTTCTGTCTTCCCTGCCACCCTTTGTGCATTTAAATGAAGATATCTTTATCGAAAACAGGTAGGAATTTAACACGAGATCATTCCCCCTCTCTACTGGTTGTTGGTAGAGCAGAAGCAAATGCATTCAGTAGTGGCCGAAACAGGTTTTTTCAGGACCTGGCTAGGAACAGAATGGACAGGTCGACAGGTAAAGATGCAGGATCCTGTCTCGCGCGCCATCATGCATTCACAGGTATCGTGTCTCGCATAATAATGTAATGTAATTCCAATATACACTGTCTGCGTTTTGTATCTACCATGATCGACACGTAGAAATTATCTATCAGTAACATCTCTTGCATAGAGTATTATCTATCAATCAGGAATATCTCTTGCATACACTTAAGTCAAGTATCAAAAAATAGATAGTTCATGATTTTTTTTATTATTTATTACATATCCCACGTTAAGAGTACGCGTTACAATTGCTTGAAAAGGCTTCTTGTGCTTGGCTGACGTAACAAAACGATCATCGATACTTCATTGGTCTGAAAGTTTTGGGATAATCGACGCCTTGTTCACGAGATCGCGTTCACGATCACTGACAACGTGATCGATGAATTCTGAGAATGAAAGAAGCAATGAAATTAATCACGTATGTTCACTCGCATCGTGTTCTCAATTAATTTGCAACAATTGACACATAACCTCTCGGCGCGATGCATCTTCCTCGATTAAAATCGAATCGTGTGACGATTGTCAGATTAATGATTAAAATAACCGTTTTATCTTTTCTATATTCCAGGATATATTCCACAGACGAATTAATTTTGTTTTCTCTTTTTTGTTTCAAAGTTCGATCATTGGCTCAAGTTTGCACGTATTGCCGTAACCACTGTCTCGTTGTCTTCCTACGCGGGAAAGGAACCAACTTTTCATTCGTCGTGTATCGCAGCTGTTCACCAATCGCAACAACGTGGGCGAAGGCGACCTCACACTCAACGAAAACTTTATATTTTCGAAAGGTGAACAAAAATCACAGATTTCTAGCCTTCGAGCCACCCACGAGACGGCAAAACCCACGTTTTTCCAAGCACCTGCGCAGCTATACATTATTGGTTAATACTGGTTGATCGATCAGTCGATATCGCCTCTGACGTAACAGTACGTGTTTGAATCCCGTCTTTCCATTAGCCTGTCTCTTAATAACCAATCTCTCGTTCATAAATACTATAATAATAAATTATTAGAATTTAAGATTCATAATTTTTTGACGATAGAAAATCATAGTTGATTCGAAACCTATTAAAAAGATAATAATTAAAAGATCTAGGATTAGTAATCAGACAACAATGCTAGATATAATTAAAATACAAAAATATAGTTTCGTATTATTTATAATAAATATTCAAACGCGCGATTACACATTGCGTGTGTGCCGCGAGCGGAAGTACAGAAACTGACACCAGATCACGATCCATTTCTGTCGAACCGCGGTACAATATGACATCAGGGTTCTCATGTACTGCCACGTTGCTGCGACAATAAACACGCGGTTTACGGCCGCAAGATCGCACATGTGTTCACGTGTACACGCGCTTACGCATTTACGCACGCGTAAAGAGAGGTTGGTTGTGTCGTGAGCGAACACAGGAAACGTGCAGCCCTGTGCTACCCGCATGGCTCGGAATGCACGAGAATAGAATCGCGTCCGATCGTATGCGTGTACGCCCCTACACGCGCGTGTCTGTCTTGGTGCACAATAGAAACGACACCCACCACTGCTCGTGCACTCAGGACAGAATTTATGTTTGTAGAGTGGTGGATGGATGTAGTATCAGTGGACGCTTGTATATTATAATGCCCGGTTAACTACATCCTCTATACCGATGCCGATCGTGCGTGTACGCGCGTGTGTACACGGTAATAGTGTGTACGATACACCTGTGTGCAAGCTGTGCACAATGCTCGCGCTTAGAGATGTACAAGTTGTTTCTCGATTCCAGTTGTACGGTGACTAGGCAGAAAAGACGATTTCTTCGCGGAAAAAGATGAAAGACCGATATACGGCATCGGGATGGTTTAATTAAACCGCGATATAATTAGATCCTTTCTGTTTACCGATTTATTGTATACATATGCTGATTTATCGCGGCACAAAGGGGATTTTAGCTTTCTAAAAAAGGAAAGCGCGCGACCGTGTGATTTTTGTCGACAATTAGGAAAGTAAGATTTCGTTCAAATTTCCTCGAGTTCGACTTTCTTCCTTTTTCTTTATCCGTGCCGACAATGCGTTTCCTCGTTCGCGTTTATGCGAGCTTACACCGTTCCTTTTTGTGCCATCGAATCGAATTCCTACACCTTTTAGTATCGATGCGACGCCCCAAGCAACGGAAGTCTTGCCGGTTCCCTCGTTTAACATATGGGCAAGTGAGTTGCACGTGTTTCATCGTGTATGTCTCGTTTCGTAGCGACGTGTGAGTGGATTGTGTCGCATGCGAGACTGCTTCGTACGGTATTACGCTGCTTCTTGGTTGCTACCTTGTCAGGAATTCAGACGGACGCCAGACCGATGTGATTGAGATGTCGTCCTTAAGTTTCCTTCGATCGCGATCGCGATCGATCTTGCTCGTGTTCTAACTGCAACTAGAAATTTATCGACACAATGTTGAGAGTAATTATTCGTACGTGTAATTATTAAGGATCTTCCCCATAGAACTAGTGAACGAGTGGAATGTTTACGATAATTAACGTCAGCACGAACGTAAGATTCTTTTTTCACGCGGTATACGAAACTCATCGAAAGTGGCACGAGACTTTACGAGTTTCATTAGCAATGCAAATTATGGCTCGTTGTTTCTTCGCGTGAAACTGTTTCGATAGATAAAGAATATTTACCTAACAACATCGAAATTCACGGTAATTTAATTAAAATCGAAGATCTTAACTCTTTAGAAGCAATAACCCATTCTTGCTCATGTATTGACAATTAAAATTAATTTTTTTTTTTTTTACGCATAATTATAAGAAATTAGTCGATCAATCGATTTTAGTAGAAGATGTTTGAGTCATAAAAGGTACTTAGCTCCGTGTCAGGTTACTTTCTATCGCCATAAACGCATCTTTATCCTCGAATGCTGTGAGTTTACCGAGAAAATAATCGCGGCACATTCGCGGTTCCCATCCATCTTCTGGGGAAACAATAGGTCGTCTTAAAGAAGGAGAGACGAAGAAAGACGGAGAAGGCAATCGCTTTCCTTTCTCAGAGTTAAAGAACGACGTCCGTAGGCTTTCGCGATCTTGAAAGCAAGAGGAGGTCTATGAATTTTAAAACGTTTAATCGATAAGTAACTAATTATACTTTATGGAATATCCGGTTAAGCGTTCCTCGAACGATAAGGAAAGAAAAAGTGAAAGTGAAACAATAAAGGAAATCTCGGAAACGGGCCGAAAGAAATGGCGAAGCTTGCGTGATCTCGAAAGCAAGAGGATAAGAGAACCACACCGCTGAAAAATGGAACTAGAAACTAATGGAAACAAGACGAATTCGTTTGTCCATAACCGTGGAAGTTGCGAATATGTGTAACGAACGGTTAATTTGCCTGCGTCACGCGATTCAGGAAGGCCGTTATACGCGAAGGACGCTTCCCACGTTATTTCGCGTCAGATGCTACGCTACTCGTCCAGGGACACGTTCAAAATAATTTTTCGAGTACCGTTGAAACGACCAATTTAATTCAGCGACGTCCTTAATTATCCACGAGGGAAGTTCCAATTAATATTTTAACCATTGAATCTAAAAGAAGAGTTGCAATTGCACGATGAACGAATTTCTTGCACTGTGATGGATGGATTGCGTTCGTTCGCCTTTTTAGGATCTTGTAACGAGGATACGATTACGCTTTCTGCCTTTGAGATGAATAATTGGTATCTGTGCGAATGGAAAGTGTACGGTTGCTATGAGAATACGAACGAAGCCTTTCTGGATCAATTGAGTTTGAAAGGAGGATGCAAGACTCTCGTTGCAGGAAATTTGATTATTATTAATTAACGAAGGAGCACGGTTGAGAAAAAAATTAAAAAAGTTAAACATTTGGGACCAGAATTCGACGAGATCACGTCTCGGTTCGCACGAGATCACACGAGATGGTCACGCGCTACCAGTTCCAAGGTATGGATGTCGAAAGGTGGTATGTTCGGGTTTCGGGTTCCCAGATTCTCCGTCTTATATTAGGTCGTCTCATAAATTAATCAGTGATAATTAATCGTAATTATAATATAATATTTATTCTACAATTTCCCCTAGCGAACTCCTTAGTTTCTGCGGAGAAAATAAATTTGTTACGTAGCGAGAGCTGTGTGGATGATTTCATTATGGCAAGGAGAGCCGAGGGAAAAATGGCGAATTTGTGCCGGAAATATGAAATTCTTAAGCAACGAAAGTATCGTATGAACGGTCGCATACTGCACGGCGCCGGAAATGCGTAACACCGCGTGGTGAAAACTCGATCGCACCTTCATCATATCCTGAAATTAGTTAGCTGGTTAAAATTCTCAGAGCTCAGGAACAAGTTTCACCGCGATTAAAATTCTAACGATTTATGTCACTTGTTTCTTAATTCCATAAAACTATTTTCCCACGCATACGATATTTAAAAATTTCCAATTGAAAGTTATTTCGCTACTTGATCACAGAGCTTATACGATTTAAGTAAATTACCCACATTATATTATCATTCGTAAAAAAAATATTCCAAGTTTTATTATAACCTGATACTATATTTTTTTACTACAAACCTTATATTATAAGAAACTTTCGTGCTAATGGATCGTAATTGATTCGAGTTCGATTCGTTTCACGTGAGTTTCAAGTTGCACGCGATCTCTCTGATCGTGAATCACAGGAAGACATCGTTGCAACTTGACCTCGAGCCAATCACCCGTTTCTCCAACTCATACCGCGGAAGTTCGATTTTCAGAAAAGAATTATCTTTTACCGATACTTATTGCCGGAAATCCCTCGATGCCCTTATCGTACATTCTACAGAATTGTGCCTCATATGCTCGATAAAATATCGTTCTTCGAGAAATCTGCGTCACGTACGCTTCACCAATGAATAAATAAATGCTAGAAAACATTATTAAAACGATATGATTCACATATATAATTATTCGCTTTTCCATCTTCCGTCTAAATGATAGATGGTGCAGATTCACGGTCTTTCCATGCAAGAACCGTGGATCTGCACCGTATTTACTCATCGTCACTTTATCGTATACAATTATCGTTGGATTGCACGAGCCACGCTTTGATCAAAGATCAACAAATGAACCGTGATTTATTGACCATTGCCGTACTATTAGTATATCTGAGATACCGTCGAATCTTAGTAGTAGCCAATGCCAAGAATACGTGACAAAACGCGCGACTCGATAAATATTCACGTGCATTTTCATGCGAGTAACGAGTACCATTGTCCAACTATGGCTTTACAAAATTCTCTTGGGGGAACAATAACTAAATATAATAATAATAATAATAATAATAATAATAATAATAATAATAATTCCTGTTTCGTATATATATATATAATTTCACGACTTAGCTTTTTCGTAAACGTCGTGGTGCACGAAGTAACGGCATCTGGGTATCGACGTTAATTAATCGCATCTTGCATATGTCCGAATGCAGTCTTGTGTGGTAACTTCCGACATTCCTGCTGATTTGAAAAGAATAAAATTCATAGCCGGTGCGTGTACGCAACTATACGCGAGGAGAGACCACGTGTACGTGTGAGAAGTAACGTGCACGATAGTTGACGCAGCAAGATCCTGTGTATGCGAAACGTTGTGCAAGGAAGGCAGTTGCGTGCGTAATAAAACACTTGGGTGGTGGAATTTAGACAATTTTCAGTAAT